AGATTTCCAATATACCTTTGTGCCTCATTCATGTTTTAGGTCACTATTTGTTATTATACTTTTGTTGTAATTTTTATAGTGGATTAACTTATTTCGTAGTGGATTATGTTAATATTTTAGTGTATTTTGATAATTTTTGTAGTGGGTTTTGACGAGATTATAGTTGATATTCTTGATTTGGAGACCGATTTTTAGTGAATGAATTAAATTGACACATGGTCGTCTTCTTTTTCTTTGGTTTAGGTTCTTGCACAAGCGAAGTGATGGCAGCAAGTGGGACGATGTTGGGTGATGAAAAGTTTGTATTGTTTATCACCGGGTCACTCTAACCTAACGAAAACCACGAGCAACACTATCATAAATTCGGAAATTTGTAGTGGATTTTGATAAGTTTGATGTTGATGTATAAGTGTTTTTCTAAGATAAGTTTGTAGTGGATTAACCATATATTACGTTAATTTTGTAGTGGATTACTTTAACCTATAAAGTGGATTTTGATAATTTTGTAATGGATTACGTTAAATCGTAGTGGATTATGTAAATTTTTATTCGATTTTGATACGTTTGTAGTGGATTACATTAATATTAAAGTTGATTACGATAATTTCATAGTGATTTCTATGTTAATTGTGTTGTGGTTTTCGATGAATTTATAGTGGTTTTCAATAAATATGTAGTGGATTTAAATTTTTTGTTAAACTTGCGGTAAAGAAAAACCATTTAAAAAAATGAAAAAAGAAATTAAATCAAAATTAGAAAAGAAATTGTAACAAAATAATGAAAAAAAAAATGAAATGATGTGATTTGCATAAGAGATTTTGAGTTGGTGAGAGATTTAAGGAGAGTTGTTTTAGGGGGAAATTAGCGTGATTTGATTATGCAACAATAATTTAATTATACTTCTATAAATATAATAGAGGTAAATGAGGTATTAAGCTTAATGAGGGGTTATCCCTAATAGTAAATAAAAAATTGGATTTATGCCTATAAGAAAGTTGTATGAGAGGGTTATACCCCCTTATCGCATTAAAAACCCCTAATTTTTTCTCTCTATTGAAAGGCGAGTTTTTTCTCTCTACTGAGAGGCTAGGCTTATTGGATGTTGGCTCGTTTATCGCTGGTTCTAGGTGGCCTGAACTATCCTTTATCAGATTGGTCGGAAGATCCAATCGTGTGCTTTACTATTGTTTAGTTTTATCTCCTGCGTTTTTTTAAATATTAGGGTTTTTCTTTTCCCATCTTGGTTTTTTTTTCTGTTTTTCCACTGCCTATTTTGTTTCCCTATTCTCCTTGCCCTAACTTGTTGCGCCTCATTTTTTCTGACGGGACTCTAACGACATCTTCACAATTCTGCTTTCTTCTTCCTAACACTCATATCTATCTCTCCCTCAAATGGATGGATTAACATATACAATGGAAAAAGGTCTCACTCTTACGGCTGATGAGGAAGAGGGGATCACAGTAACAACCGAAAGTTCGCATACCAGAATATTGAATGTTACATATCAGTTGATCGGCCGGATTGTCACTACCCGAGAGATCTCGTCACAGACCATTAGAGCCAACATACTTCGCCTCCTCCAACCGGGTAAATCATGCAAAGTTGTACCATTGGGGCCGAATAGATTCATTATCCGGTTCGAACATCAGTTAGACTATGAGCATGCAAAGTCGGGATGCCCTTTGTTGTTGGAAAAGAACGCTTTGCTGTTCCAAGATCTCATTGCCGATCAATATCCAGCCCTTATGGAACTAAACACGATGACGATTGTGGTCCGCCTCCACAATATTCCTTTTTCCACACGGAACCAGCAGACGGTGCAGCTTCTTGGCGGAAAGATATGAGAGTTTGTTGAATTGTTAAACCCTAAAACTATAGATATGAGTCAGTATGTTCGCATCAAAGTTAAACTTGATGTTCTCAAAAGTCTAAAAAATGGCATGAATCTTCATATTCTCAACGGTGAAAAGGTGTGGGTGGCATTTACTTATGAACGCCTCGCGAACTTTTGCTTCTTGTGCGGACGCATTGGACATGCTGAAAACCGTTGTCCGGAGAGGTATGAGGAGAATTTTACAGACCCCGGCGATAACTTACCGTATGGATTATGGATGCGAGCATTGACACAATTGGTATGGGACTCCTCTCGCCGGCCTTTGCAGCCACTCACCAACCAATTGGTTGTTGCGACCGCATCATCACATATCACAACCCTAGGTGCTGATATATTCAACTACGGAAGACAAAAGGTGAATGATATGCAGCATACTTCCACGGAGACAAGACCAGTTCAACCTGCCATGGTGATTGGTAACGAGTTAAATTTGATTACTCACACTATTCAATTCGATATGGGTGCCAAAACCGCTCTTTCGGACAGAAGCCAGCCCAAACTTCCACCTAAGAATCGAAAGAAGAAAGCTACTGAAACAGGACTCTCTGATCGACATGTTTCCGGAAAGCGACATAACTCAAGCTTGTGTAATGAAGATCTGGCCTCAACAGCGGAGACTGCGGTGCAGTCCCGCCGAGAATTATGAGTTGCATATTCTGGAATTGTCAAGTGCTCGGGGCTCCCTTGACAATTCATGTACTCGGAGACATTCTCCGGGAGTTTCGGCCCCTGCTCGTGTTTCTTTCGGAAACGAAGGCAACACTACTAGTTATCGAAAATTTAAAAAGAAGATGGAATCTAAATGGAGTTGGTGTAGCGAGGAACAACCAGTCAGGTGGTTTAGCGTTATTATGGAAAAAAGATGTAGATGTCGATCTTATTGGTTATTCGAACTACCATATTGATGCGGAGGTTTCGGACATAAATCATAATAGCAAATGGCGAATAACCGGTTTCTATGGCCGACCAGAACCCTCCCGACGGTATTTGTCTTGGCAACTTTTAGGTAGCATTAAAGAAAGTAGAGACCTCCCGTGGGTCGTATGTGGAGATTTCAACGAAATTCTTAGCAACGAGAAAAAGGATGGTGGAAACCCTAAATTTTCGCTACATATTGAACAGTTTCGAGAGGCGACTGATGTGTGTGGGCTCACTGACATGGGTTGTGAGGGGGTTCCATTCACTTGGTCCAACAATCGAATTGCGGATGACACGGTACGTTGTCGTTTGGATAGAGTCTTCCCCAATGGTGAATGGATATCGCAGCACCCGAATGGTAAAGTTCAGCACTTGAGTTACCCAGGATCTGACCATGTACCAATCCGTTTTGTCGCTAACGCAACTTCGGTCGTTCAAGGGGGCAGGAAGAGAAGGCCTTTTAGGGTTGAAGCGGTTTGGTTAAAACGGGAGGATTGTGAGGCGGTAGTTCAAGAAACTTGGACGGCTAGTGCTGGCACTGATTCGATCGATGCCATCATTCAGAAAAATAAGGACTGTAGAATGGCGTTAATTAACTGAAAGCGGACGCAGTTTCAACACCCGAAAAAGGCCATCGCCGATTTAAGGAAACGTATTCAGCAGCTATCGGAGATGGGTATCACGGCGGAACGCAAAGAAGAAATTCGATTACTCAAACACAAATTGGAAGCATACGAGGATGAGGACTTATATTGGCGACAGCGCAGCAAAGTCCAATGGATAAGAGAAGGGGGCCGCAATACCAATTTTTTTCACTCAAGGGCCACAATCCGACACTGCACTAATAGGGTAAACAAACTAAAGGATTCTTCAGGAAATCGGAAGAATGCAGCGAGCGATATAGAGGGGATTATCTCGGAGTACTTTAAAGAACTTTTCACGTCCACAAGTCCGAGTGAGAATGAGATAGATGAAGTGTTGGAAGCTGTCGAAAGCAGAATTGGCGAGAATGCCCGTCGTCTCTTGTCTATGCCATACACCCCAAACGAGGTAACCCGAGCCATCTCTCAAATGGCCCCCTTTAAATCTCCGGGCCCTGATGGCCTTCCTGTAGCCTTTTATACTAAATATTGGCATATTTTAGGCTCCGATATCACTTCTTGTGTTCTTGATTTTCTTAATAACCTTAAGCTTCCCTCTACTCTTAATTTCACTTTCATAGTCTTGATCCCTAAGGTAGAAAATCCCGAGAAAATTATTGATTATAGACCCATAAGTCTTTGCAATGTCATATATAAACTAGGGTCTAAGGTGTTAGCTAATCATTTCAAATTAGTTCTTAATGATCTAATCTCGCCCACTCAATCTGCCTTTGTGCCCAAACGTCTCATTTCAGATAACATTCTTGTGGCTTACGAAATCAATCATTTCATCAAGCATAACACTAATATTAGAACTAATTACATGGCAGTTAAGCTAGATATTAGTAAGGCATACGATCGGATTGAATGGTCTTTTCTAAAAAGTATTCTTGTTCGATTTGGCATCCCCAAAAATTTTATTGACCTTATCATGCTTTGTGTTTCGACCATCTCATTTTATTTCTTATTTAATGGTACGCAGTTTGGCTCAGTTACGCCTTCGCGAGGGCTTAGACAAGGGGATCCCTTATCCCCGTACCTATTCATAAGTTGTGCCGAGGCTATGATTGTTATGATCGCGAAGGCGAGTGGGAGGGGGGAATTTACAGGGGTTCGGCTTGCAAACTCGGCGCCAGAAGAGTCTACTCTTTGTTTCGCTGACGATACTCTTATTTTTGGAAAAGCTACCGAGGATTCTGCGATGGCTTTAAAGCATATTTTGCTCAAATATGCTCGGGCGTCTGGGCAGGAGATCAATTTCGAGAAATCGACTATGTGTTTTAGCCCTTCCACAACCGAGGTTCGGAGAAACACTATTCATGGTATCTTGGGTTTTCGGATGGTTGAATGTCATGATAAATACTTGGGTATGCCGGTGGTAATCGGTAGAACGAAAAAAGAGATTTTTGCTTACTTACGTGATAGGGTTTGGGCGCGAATACGGGGATGGGGTGAAAAGTATCTGTCAAAAGCAGGAAAATAGGTACTTATCAAATCCGTTTTACCGGCCATTCCTTCCTATGTCATGAGTTGTTTTTTGTTGCCAATGGGGAGAGTGAGGGATCTTGAAAAAGCCATACGTCGCTTTTGGTGGGGAAATGGATCGAACAAGGGCATACATTTGGTCTGTTGGGAGAAGATGTGTACGGCAAAAGAATATGGCGGTATGGGATTTCGAGATCTTCGATCTTTCAATTTGGCGCTACTCACGAAACAGGCATGGAGGATACTGACGAATCCTAATTCTCTCTTGGCTCGAATTCTTTCTGCTCGTTACTTCCCACGTGGCAATTTGTTTGATGCCGGAATCGGTTTTCGTCCCTCTTCCACTTGGAGAAGCATTCGGCAGGTGATCCCATTTTTAAAGAAATGTATTCGCCGACAAATTGGAAATGGCCTCGATACCTCAATTTGGGCAGACCCATGGCTTCGAGATGGAAATAATTTCAAGGTGATAACTAAAAGGCCTAACTACTCAGCGTTCCCGGACAAAGTAGCGGACTTGATCGACCCTCAATCTCAGTCTTGGAATCTAAGCGTTGTAGAAGGGGTGTTTTGGCAGGTTGATGTAGAGCGAATTTTGGAAGTCCCAGTTAGTCGTGGGCTAACAAACGACAAGTGGATTTGGCACTTTACACCGAATGGAAATTTTTCGGTACGGTCGTGTTATCATGCGATCGTTACATCCTCATCGGCGCCGGATAATGCTGGGATGGCTGGTGGGAATAACGAAGAAAACGCTCGACGTTGGAAACAAATTTGGGGTTTGTCCATTCCACCGAAAATACGGATTTTTTTGTGGCGGCTCTGTGGAAATTCGCTCCCCTCAAATGCTGAGCTTTATAGGAGGAAAGTGAGTAGTTCCCCAATCTGTGGTAGGTGCAACAATGGTATGGAAACAACCATGCATGCCCTCCTTGAATGTTGTGATGCGGGGGTAGCATGGACTAATTTGTTAGGGCCACGACATCACTGGTGGAACTTCAAATCGAATTGGCAATGGCTTTCGAGTATATCCGATTCCCTCAATGATGGTGACTTTTTGGTAGCGGTGGTACTTGCATGGAAGCTCTGGGAAAGACGTAACAAGTCAATCAAAGGAGAAGAAGAGTTGCAAGTCCTTGATCTTGTGGCTTGGTGCAAAAGCTATCTAGCAACTTACAGTACGGCGCAATTTAGACCAAATGAGAGCATGCACCCGGCACACCCAAGCGTTTGGATTCCTCCCCCCGTAGGTGTCATAAAAATAAATTTTGATGCAGCGGTGACCCAGGGGCAGTGCAAGTTTTCGATTGGGCTGGTGACGAGAAATTCCGACGGCGTTTGCGTCTACTGGAGGCACGTTAATGTTCGTGGGAAATTAAGTCCGGTTGAAGGCGAGGCTATGGCGGCTCTCAAAGCGATTGAACTGGCAAGAAGTAAGGGATGGTGGTCGGTGGCTTTCGAAAGGGATAATATCCAAGTTATCACAGCACTTCATGAAGGAAATTGTTTTTCTTCTACTTGGAGTGCGATCATTGCTAGATCGAGATTTCGCTCAATGTTCTTTTCAATTTGTTAAGCGTGATGGCAATGCCTTAGCTCACGCCGTTGCTAAACAGCTCTGTATCCCAAAATTTTCCCACACTCACCGGTTATCATTTTGTCATAATATCGCATTATCTTACAAATAACCATTTCTTTTTCTAATTTAAGCACATAACTACTATTAAAACTACTTAACCAAAATTGAGTGACCAAAAACAAATCAAAATTACTTCCAAACTCATAAGGTAAATATTATTTGCAAAAAGAGCAGGGGGTTACACTAGTTGAAAACTTTAAATTTTTATCGATTCTATTGGATAGTTATATTTTATTGCAGAGTTCAAACTTTTTGCACGATAGAATCATTTTATATCTTGTCAAACATTTATTATGCGAGCCAATAATAATATTAAGTTAATTATACTCACTAGTAGTAATCGAACAATAATTAATTACTTGGTGTATATTTTAATAAGTTGTTAGGATACTATTAAATTTGTTAGAATTATGTTCCATCACCAAATGAAAAAAGGGAAAAGCAAATGCACCCCCATTTTCGTTGTCTTTGAATGCAAAGGAAAGAGGTCACTTTGCTACTTTATGATTTTACATGTGCAGCCAAATAAATCTCTCCCTAAAACAAAGGTGAATGCAAATTAAATTTGATTTGATTGAACTTAAATTTTCGCAGCGGTGATTAATCGGAGATAAATCGAAAATAAATCGATTTTTTAGATTTAGTGTAAATTTCTAAATATTATTTCGATATACTTAAAACATATATGAAAAAATATTTAAATATAATTATATCGTGTCGTTTATATATCTTGATCATATAACAAAAATTTAGCAATAATGAGATCATAATACAATAAACATTCTTACAAAATACAAATACAACACAAATCTTTTGCATTCAAATTTATGCTTGAGCTTTGCAAACCTCCCAATTTTGTGAAGTGACGCCGCCGCCAACAAGCACCGCCTCAATTTGTAGCTGTCGTCGACCAAGTCCGGTTTGGTTTGGAATTGGTTGAAAAAAAGGGATTGGAAAAAACAAAAAAGGAAAACCCTAGTTTGTTTAATTTGAATTGAAGTTTGACCCGCCTCAATCCATCAAAGACAAAGTTGTTTCATTGTTCTACATCAACGTATAACCGGTCCATGGTCAACAAGCCAGTTCATGGGTCGTACCCAATGTTGTAAAAGGGGGGAAATCGGACCCGAGTCGGTTAGGCACCGCCTGATAATTAATCGGTGCGGTGGTGATTAATTGATGATAAATGAGAAATAAATCGATTTTTTTAAATTTAATGTAATATATATATATATAAACATGATTTTATCCCAATCATTTATATATCATAATCACATAATAATTTTTTTAATAATAATAAGATCATAATATGATAAAAATTCTTACAAAATAAAAATAAAACAAAAATCTTGTGCATCCAAAATTATACTTGAACATTGAAAGCATATATTATTAGGTCCTTTAAAAATAAAAATTAACATTAACAAATAAAACAAAGCATAAAATCTTTTTTTATTAAAAGCCCAAAAAGAAATTATTTCAGAAAGAAAAAAAAATCTCGATTTTTGACCCATTTTTGTCACCAAAGTTTGACCCGCTTCTAAGATTTAACCGCCTCAACCCACCTCGGACCGCCTAAAAACGCCTTATAGGCAAAAACCGATTTTTCAAACATTTACACTAAAATCGTAAAAAATTTAGACTGCCTCCGCCTCGAAGACCGATTGATCGTCTATCTCGACCAATTTTAGAACCTTGGTCATACCCCTGGTTGGCCGGAACGGCGCCAGAACGGTCGTTACGGCCGGAACGGTCGGAACGGCCGGAACGGAACGGGAACGGTGCCCTCCGTTCCGGAAACCGTAACCAAACCGTTCCACAACAAAAAAATTGCCAAATGGGCAAAAAACAGCCGGAACACCGGGACATTGCAATAAATCGGATGGTCGCGGTTGTCACGGGTACCGGAACGGCCTGGAACGGCATGAATCATCATAATTTACTTTTTCAGGTCTCCAACGACGATTTAAGAATTTCAAAATTTTAACTTTTAATTAAAAGTTTTAAAAAATTACAATTAGGTGAAACACTTTAAATGTAGTTTGATTTGGGACTGGGGAACGACTGTCATGATTATCAGTAGATTTTTTAAGTTTTCAAAATTTGCATTTTCACCCTTAATTCTATTTCTCAAAGTTTAAAAAATTGTTCTAAAATTAAAATTGCAATTTTAATGATAGTTTGTATATTATTCTACGGTAATGTTAATAGTAATAACTTATTTGACATTAATTCTAATTTTTCGCATTTTAATTAAAATATATCCGTTCCAATCGCGACGCAGCCGCGACATTGCAACGGAACTGAAACGGCAATGTCCGCGACAATGCACTGTTCCGTTCCGACGAACCATGGTCATACCACAACTAGTGGGTCAAACCGGCATTAAATTTCCCACAAATTTAGCTCACCGGTTTCATTTATTCTCCTCTGATCATCATTTTCCCCCAAATTCACTATAAATACAGACAAGCACAAAAAAAAAAAACATACAAAGTAGAATGGCATCATGTACATGGGCGGTGAAGCAACTATATGTTCATAGCCGCCGCCGCTGCCGCTGCCGCAAGTGCGACAAAAGCCAATAATAAAGTACCAGGAGCAATTTCCAGCCGTACGGTCGTGATTTCGCCGGCGGCAAACCCACCGGAAGGTTTTCAAACGGCCGGATCGCAACCGATTTCATCTCTGAGGCGTTGGGGCTCCGGCGGTCGGTTCCGGCGTACTTGGATACTGCGTATAATATTACAGATTTTGGCATTGGGGTCACGTTTGCTTCTGCTGGAATTAAGTGGTTATGACTTATGATAACGCTACTTCTCATGTTCTCGTAACTTTCTTTCTTACTTTCCCTTTTAGTATGTAGTATTATCATCTATTTTTTTTAATTATATTATCTCACTGCCCCGCCAAATTCCCCAAAATATATTTTTTTCACCCAAACCCCTGAGGTATGCTTAAATAACATTAAGGTCCCTGTGGTATTGATAATTACACTCACCTCCTGGAAACGTAGTTATAAACTCTAATGTTTTAATAATGCATTGGATACATTATTACGATAGAGTTCTAACAGACTATTCGTTTCAGGAAGTGGTGGAGACAACAAAGAGTTATAGGTGATTTAAGAAATATTATGGGAGCCATGTCACCCCATAACTCCTAATAACTCTATGTCATCCCCACCACTAGCTAAAAGGAATAGTCAATTAGAACCATATCGGAATAATGCATCCAATGTATTATCCCGTTAGAGTTTCCAATTTCGTTTCAGGGGGGTGAGTGTAATTATCGATATCGTAGGGACCTTAAAATATTTAAGTATACCTCAAGGGTGTAGGTGTATTTTTAAATCTAAGAATAGGCAATTTTATATTAAAATATAAAAAGTATATAAAATTGTATAAATATGAGCATGTCGTGTTTGGCTTATACTTGTACCTCCACATGACCACAGGTCACGAGCCACCTGGTCACGAGTTAAGAATTAGGTTCGACAGTGGGTAAAGATTTTTTTTGGAATTCCGGTATTCGGTACAGTACGGTACTGCACCGTATCGAATACCGAAATATTTAATAATTTTTTTTTCTTTTATTTAAATTCCGTTAAGGTTATAACAAATTATAAATACTTTTAGATTAATATTTTTTATGAAATGTTATTTACGGTTACAAAATTGCTATTTCGTTTTTCACAAAACCCCCCAAAACTTTTCAAAAAAATCAAAAAAACCCCCAAACTGCAAATAGTAAAATTAAAAAAAAAAATCGAAAATTCAAAATCAAGCTTGAAGAAGGGTTGGGCTTCGATTTTTTGATGTAATTTCGACTCTTTTATGTGTAATATGCATTGGGTAGGTCGATTACGGAACCAATTTCATGATAAAAAGCCCTACAAATCGATTTGTAGGGCTTTTTTTTCGCAAAAAAATGTTCGAACGCCCAAGATGGGCGCCCAAGGCGTGTACGAACGCCCGGATTTGTAGGGTTTTTTTTCGCAAAAAAATGTTCGAACGCCCAAGATGAGCGCCCAAGGCGTGTACGAACGCCCGGTCGTACACGCCTTGGGCGCCCATCTTGAGCGTTCGAACATTTAATAAAAAAGAAAAAAAAAAAAAAAAATTTGCACTAGACGCCCAAATGCAGCTTGCACGCCCAACTTGGGCGTGCACTGCATGAATGGGCGCCCAAGTTGGGCTTTTACGCGTTTTGAGGGGGTTTTGGATTTTTTTGGGAAGTTTTGGGGTTTTAGTGAAATAAAGTGTTTTTTTGGGGGATTTTGTTATAAACCGCAAATAGCAATTTTCAAACCGCAAATAGCAATTCCCTATATTTTTCAATTATTTAAAATTAGCCTCTATTGATATTCACTTTTTTTTGTGTCGATTATTGAAATTTTGAATGTCGAATTCAAGAATTAATTAGTTTAAATTATTTTTTTACATTTTTTTAAAATAATAAAATATATTTTCGGTTTTACCGTCATCGAACTGAAAAAACCAAATTTATTTGGTAAAAATCTGTACCGAACCGAATAAAGGGTACAAATTTTTGAAGTACCGAAATTTTGTTTTACTGAAATTCATGTATGGTTCAGTACAGAATTACCGAATGAACACCCTAGGTATCCCGACCCTTAACCAGTTCATGAAATGAATGATTTCGTACCGGTTCAAAATGAAAGTATTTATTGAAAAAAATAAAGAAAAATATACCTACTTAGAAGCAGAGAAGCATTGCATTTACAATTTACACCAATCAAATGAAAATGAGAGTTGCCTCTTTAATTTGTTTCTTGATCAATCTTGAAGAATAATCAATCTTATGATGCACAACAAAATTTCAATTTTGTAGGGGGTGATTCCTTTATGGAGGGAATTGGAATACTACAAAGACTACCAAAGGAGACTAAAAGCCTATCTTGGTGATGCGAAAGCCTACAATACTATCGCCAAGGCGTTGTACATGATAAGTATCGGAACGAACGATTTTCTAGAAAATTATTACACATTTAATTCGCAGAGAAGATCGCAGTACACGGTGGATGCGTACCAACAATTTCTCATCGGAATCGCCAAAAAATTTGTCATCAATCTTCACGGCTTGGGTGCACGTAAAATAAGCCTCAGAGGGCTACCTCCAATGGGTTGTATGCCCTTAGAAAGAACACGAAATATATTTAATGGAAATGGATGCATTGAGAATTATAACATAGTCGCCATGAGCTTCAATGGGAAGTTGTATGATTTAGTGACCAAGTTAAACAAAAAATTACCAAGGTTACAACTGGTTTTCTCCAACCCTTATTACATACTTCTACAAATAATCACGAACCCATCCGCATATGGTAAGTTCTTTTTTTCGTTCTTTAAACGAAAAACGAGCAACCATTTTCTCAAATATTTATATTTTTCTTGCAATATTGGCCTTCTTATTTGCAGGGTATGATGTTTCTCAAATGGCATGTTGCGCAACGGGGATGTTCGAGATGGGATATGCTTGTGACGAACGCAACCCGTTTACATGTTCCGATGCAAACAAATATGTGTTTTGGGACGCATTTCATCCTACCGAGAAGACTAATAGACTCGTTGCTGATCATTTGGTCAAGACTGCTTTGCACAAGTTCCTTTGATACACTAGAATGCGTGTGTGTGTGTGTGTGTGTGTGTGTGTGTGTGTGTGTGTGTGTGTGTGTGTGTGTGTGTGTGTGTGTGTGTGTGTGATTATTGTAATTGCAGTTCATGTGATTCATTTCGAGAGGACAATTTTGTATTAAGACATGACTCGAATCATGCTATGCCGGAGGTATAATAGTGACAGAAGTGAAGTCGTAAAAAGTTTTACCATTCGATTATATTCAAGTGCACACACGCGTATAACACATACATGTGCACAAGCCCCTACAGACGACGAGTAAGACTGTTGTATTAAGACAACTAAAGCATTCAGAAGAGTTGCAATGCCAATTCAACAATCAAAACTGTTTTTAGCTCAATTAAATGTTTTCTCTAAATGTAAATAAAATAAAAGAAAAAATTGTAAAACTAGAGCTCATCCTTAGTAGCAAGAGTGTCATCATCAGCCATAAGTTCTTCAAGGGAGAACTCATCTTCTTCAAATATCTCTCCATCTTTACCATCCCATGCTTCTGTCTTCACTATTTCAGGGCTTCCTTCTAAAGGCAGGGTTCCTTTTCCACCCTGACTTGCTTCATTCACAAACTCTCTGACAATACATACATACATTATTCATCAGAGAGAGAAAGAGAGAGGCTTTTAATTACTATATATTCTATATCATTATTCGATTGAGTGTGTGTTGTGTGTGTGTGTGAGAGAGAGAGAGAGAGAGAGAGAGTAGGTTACATAATCTGAGCACGCTGAAATGCGCTCTTAAGTGGGTTAAAAACTTTCTTCTTGATATTGAGGGCTACCAAAGCTGGATACCCATAGCCTCCAACTCCGACGTGTTTTTCAAGATCAGATTGCTTACCCGCAGCAGCCCAAAGGAAGCTGCATCATTCATCAAACTTAAGTCAGTCGTGTGGAATAGAATTGTTCCTTTTAAGACATTGTTACTCAGTTTATATGGGGATAATTTCCTTGCCTGAAGGGGCTCTTTCGGAACTTTTCTGCAACAGATAACAAAAGATCGAGATATTTGTTTCTGCCCTCGGCCTTGGAGTCCAATATGTCAGGTAAAAAGGCAACAAAGCAGATGGCAGCTGAACCACATTTCTCCTCCAAAGTATCCTATAGAATGACAGCAATTAATAAGGCCCCTTTGATAACAACTAAAATAAAGGTGTTCTAGAGAGAGAGAGAGAGAGCTAACAGGGCTAGTCAATTCAGTCACTTCAGGAGGGGGAGCATTTGTTTCAAGCTGTTCCAACGCAAATGATTCAATTGCTGATGCTGATCTGGCACCTTCATATGGAAATGGACTGTCTTTGTCAGCACCGAACACCATGATAGTGGGAAATCCTTGCACATTGAACCTGCTCATCAAAGACTGGAAACTCATATTTATTAGAACTATGCCATTCCATTGTCAATCAACTAATTATAACTTCCTAAGTTATAGAGACCAACAACTAGCTATATCCAATCGGCCAAAAAGACGGTGCAATTTATGTATCCGCCAGCAATCATATTTGGCTAAGTGTATTATGTCATGTGTGTGTGTGTGGGGGGTGGTGGTCAATATCTAATAATGGGTTGGACTTACTTTTTCGGCGTCACAGTCTACATGACCCAGCTTCACCTGGCCCTTCAGACTGCTGGCTGCCCTCTTCCACTCAGGAGCAAGCTTCTTGCAGTGTCCGCACCTTCACAGCAGCAAATTACATCAAACCAAAAGCTATCAAACCAAATTGCATCCCCTAAATCATTGTTTGAAGATAATGGTAACAACTATGTTAAACAAAAAAAAAAGCAAGAAATATAAATTTCGGAATACTATAAATTTACATATAGCAGGAGTTGTCCCCAGACCGTTCCTATCTCATTTGGTAGTTGGCTCCTTTGGTCCTTATATTCAAATTCTCGTAGTCCTTTTTCCCATTTTTCCCATTAAAGTGACCACCCATTACCATCACTTTGTTCTCTTTGCTTCCCCTAGACTATGGTGTTACATATAATCCCCTGCCACCATCCTCGTCCATGGACCCACTATGGCTGCTTTGCCACCCGCATCATTTTTTTTCCAAATCATATAGCCACCCACCTACACACCACAACGTGAGCCCACCACCCTAGTGTATAATTACCTTACTGACCCCAATATTCGTCAATCACAATCACCAAAAATCTCCCACAACCCTGGCCCACCCACCGTTCTAGTTCCACAGACCCCAGTCACTGCCAATCAATTACATTGGGTTTAACCAACATTCTGGCCCCAATGGATCTATCATATGTCCCTCAAAGCTTTGGCAGTCCACCCAAATCAACTATGCAATTTACTCGGCCAATCCTTCAGAGGCACAGTTATTCATGCGGAGATAGATGTGATAACTGACGAGAAGGGAATCGAAAAATAAGAGATAAGGAGAGAAAGCTACAGGAATATCTAAGAACTGTCCACTAAGTTGAGACCTCGAGCATTTCAAGTTGAAGACCATGCAATAATCATTGCAGTCTCGTCGGTTAAATGAATAACTATAGATTTACCATAAATAGTAACACAGAAGTATATTACTCCTTGGGATTTGGCTTTTCCTAATGCAGCCCAAACAATGATTTAGGGGATTTGGATTAGAGCATCAGTTAAGAACATTCAGATAAAATTCAAGGGTTAGACCTCTGGAAGAAAACATATATATCAAAAAGGCACTCACCAGGGAGCAAAGAACTCGACAATCCAGAGCTCCTTGCTTTTGAGTACCAGTTCATCAAAATTACTTGAGTTCAATTCAACTGAAGCACTGGGTTCTGACTTCTTACTGGATCCTCCCGATGACTTCCCTTCCAGACGTTCCTTCACGAGTGCTCTTACCTAAACAAAAACGAATATAGAAACGGAATGTTATCCATGTCCCTGCACGAAACCCTGATTCTTTATTATTACTACTACTACTCCAAAGCAAATGCAGAAATAGAGCAGTGTCCTTGACTCGGAAACTTACATTATTCAGAATTTTATAATGACTTTATGAGTTACGCTGACCAGGTGTTAAGCCAACCACAAATAAGTGCCACTATGCACTACAACAAAAGACTTGATCCTAAGGTTATCACATAATTCTCTGTCTACTGACAAATATATCTGATTATAATACTTGAGGAAGGACCTAAGACATAGTGACAGTGCCTAAAACTTTAAAACTAAGCCAGCATGATAATGCCTGGAATTTTGTCAACTGAAAACAAGATGTGGTTAGATAAAATGTTGACATTTAAGAAACAAATAAAAGATCGGTGTAAAATATTAATCGCATAGTAAGGGCAAAACATAAGAAATCGACTAAAAGACAAAGTATTCGAAAAGTTACTCTCACCTGTTTCAGTGCAAATTCCGCGATGGGCTTGATATCCCTAGCTCCTTGATAGTCTACAGGAGGTTTTCCTGGTGAAAAGACCTTAATCGTAGGAAACCCTTTGATTCCATACTCCTACAGCAAAAAAGGATGAAAGGTAAAAACTAAAGGAAAAACATGGTTGTTAATGCGAGGATATCAATAAAACAAAAACGGCCATCAGTCAAGAACATGGCAATGCACATATCTTACACGGAAATAAACACACCTTCACTAAGAAATGAAAAACGAAACCTAAACACGTACAAGAAACTTCATCTCATGTGGCATTTGAGTAATAAAACTCATTGAACCAGAATGTTCCTTAGCTTCTACAGCAAGAAATGTAAGAAACAAAGAGGAAACAAGTCAAAGGGTGCATGAAATTTGTCTTCTTTGCTTCAGTATCTAGGGGCAGAGCAAGAACCATGGCAACATACTCATAATTGCTGAACATCAAAAGGTTTCTACATGGTTCTTAGAGTATAAATGATCCAACTTTTTGTCTGTTGATGTTAATTCTCGAATAGGTCAAATTTTAGATGGAAATAATTCAGTAAAAAAAACACAGAAGAAAGACAATTTGTCATGAAATCAAACTCCACAACGAAAGTATTCAATCAATGTAGACACCTGAGCTAGTGACTGGTGAGCATCAGCATCGAGAGCCGCGATAGTCGCTACGCCTTTCAAGACAGTAGCTGCCTTCTCCCACGTAGGTGTCAGCGCTTGACAATGACCACACCATGGTGCGAAGAACTCAACCACAACTACGCCTTTTGAATTAAGGACCTGCATTACATAATTTCATTTACAAAAATGATACAATTTCATGTGCAAAATTACAATACAAATTAAATGCCGCCGTCTCAAAAAAATTCAAAAAATTAAAACCGATATCCACCCAAAGTAAAAAAAAAAAAACACATGAACAAATTCAGATTTAATTAGCACCACTCGGATCAATCATCATGCTAGCTACCATTACCACATTACAGAAACAAATATCGAAGAAAAAATTGATCAGATCTCAACTTCACTCACATCAACAACTTAACATATAACAGTCGTAAATTAGGGTTTAATTCTATTACAACAAAATTTCTATTAAAAAAAAAAAGAAGGCTGACAAAGCGCAGAGAGAAAACGAATGAATGCGTGTACCTTGGACTTGAAATTGTCGGCGGTAAGCTGAAGAACTGGGGAAGATGGTCCGTATAAAGCATAAACCCCTAATTTTCCAATCAAGGAGAGAAGAATGAGTGAGATCAGTGTCGATTTCTCCATTTTTTGTTTCTTTCTAATTGAATAGGTACTGATTTTTCAGGGATTTAAAAAGGAAGGCTGTTTTTCGTGCTACGTAGATCGGACCAATGGGAGTGTTCCACGTCATATCTAATTGATCATTTGGTTATAATATTGTATTGATGCATTACATTTTTTAATTTCAATGTTTTACCATATATTTGAGATTTTAAATAGGACCAATTTGCGACCTAATTTCATTAGGAATAAGGTCTTTTTTGTTTTAAATATCGATAAATGTTTATTGTTCGTCATTTTGGCGAAATACTCTTGTTTTTTTTAGTTAAAACCACAACACTCTAGCAGCAGCAGCAGCGTGCAATTTTAGTATAATTAAGCTAATTATATTGACCTTGGTTGTATTGATCTCACATTTGCTTCACTAATTAATTTTACTACCCATTTCCAAAAGTTGAATGATCATTTTGAGGTTTAAGAATGGGTTAACCATTAAAATTTAAAAAAATTGAAGATTCTCTCTTCGTGAGAGGCGTGTATTCTCTCAAAGGGGGGTTACCTACCCCTTTATCTTCTTCTTCGTTCTTCTTTTATTTGAGAATGAATCCCGCCTAATTCCATGGCATCCCAAATCTGGTGACATGTCTGAAGAATGGATCAAGTCTCAAAGTTTTTTCGTATATATAGAAATGACTCGCCGAAACTGAGTCCATTGTGCTCTAATCTTGTTAAAGAATGATGTCCATCGTTGATGGGAAGGCCTTAAAGAAAGAATCTAACTATGAAATACTAGATGAGAAAAATTCAAAGTCCAATTTTTCTAAAAAGTATTTCTCTACAAATTTTCGAGCCCAAAAATTGAAAGAATTTTTTAATTAAAACAAAGTAGTTTGACCGTTGCAATTTATGTTAGCCGATTTGAGCAAGTGTGTCTCTATGCTCCTTTCATATCCAAAGACGCCAACGAACAAACAAACCACTTCCAAAGAGGCACCAACTCAGAGTTCAAGCGTGTTACGAGATGTTCGCATGTCTTCTGCTACAACATTCCGTGTAGTAGTTGACATGGCACTGGAGGCAGATCAATATGAATTGAAGATTCTATAGTCATGACCATCTCATGCTTTATCTTTCGTACGTGGAAGAAAGCCAATAGCGGAATCAACCAGCGAAAAGGAAAATGCCCTTTGAATTTAGTATCTATTATACCGGGCCTTAAGCTCAGTTGCCCGAAATGCAGAAAGGCTCACTTCTAGATATGTTTCTTGAGTACCAACAACTACTTCCAGTGCAAGAAATCGCAAACATAAAGAGATTCCCTACAGTTTTATAATCAAAACTCATTCCTCAATGACAACTTCATATGTATTTGCAATAACCCATGTTCAGACCCTTATTGACTATGGATCAATTCACTCATTCATCTTGAATACTCTGGTTGCTAAATCCCACTTAAACCTAGTTTATTTGATAGTCTCTTTAGCATAATTATACTCTCCGACGATGAACTAAAATTCAATTTGTTTATCAAAAGTTCCCCTACACAGATCCAAGACTAGTTCTTAGACTCTAATCTTATGATATATCCTTCCAATTGACCATTTTCATGTCATTATTGAAATGAATTGGTTATCCAAATTTAATGCCATATTAATTGGATCAACAAAATTATATATCTCTACATAATTTCTAAGTGTTGTTAACACAATTTCTTCACATATTATAACAATTAAAAGAAAAACTAGAAATAAACGGTTAACTGCGTGGTTAACCGTAAACTGGGACCGACAGGTTTCCGACCCAGAGACTAGGAGCCTATGACCCAATGCCTAACTGTGCTACATAAAAGGCCGACTAAGGTTCTTCATTTCTCATACCCAGACCTGGACCGAACCCTCCTACCCTACAATTATATCGCTTAGGTTATATAACTTTTTGGGTAAATTACAACCACCCCTTGACGTATGGTCAAATTATGAAAATCCATCTCTTGTTTGGATAATTACATTTACCCATCAACTGTAAATCTTCTTACACCTCCACCCTTATGGTGTCATATTCAACATAATCATCTAGATTCCGTGGAATGTGCTCTAGTTTGTACTCGTTTTGAAAATACAGTTTATGATGCACCACAATCTGATATATACAAGCCAAAGACACATCTTATGATCATCTTGCTTAAAAATGTAGAGCTCGAATGAGATAAAACGGGTACACAAGTGATAATATTCCATATAATCAAGAAGATTCCACTAAATTTGAACCGCAAGGGTGGTCGTGTAAAAAGATTTATAGTTGAGGGGTGATTGTAATTATTCAAACATGAGGGTGTTTTTCTCAACTTTTTTATGTTTATAAATAAATTAGATTTTATTTAGTGAAAGAATAGATTCTTCCCCAAGTCTCGATTTTCCGCAGGAGAAACGGAGAATCGTTGAAACTTGAAATGCTCCCACTGTACTAATAATCTAAATCCCATAAACCCTTGTTTTTTTCTCCATGAAAATTGAGAATTCATCGCTGGGAATAAAATTAAAATTAAAATTAAATTAATTATGAGAACAATTTCGCGGTTGCGAGCGTCGGGCTCCTCGATTGCGAACCATCAAATTCTGACCCAATTCAGAACAAAAGCTTCCAATTCATTGTCTGCCGTTCAGGCCACTTTCAACTCCACTAAGGTAAACTATAAAGATTCCTTTTTTTTCTTCTTCTTTTCTTTTTTCTGTTTCCTGCATAGGTATGTGTATAATTAGAATGAGTTGTTCCGGGTCGACTCAATTAATTATCCGGATTTTGTTTTTTATTCGTATTTCTGGACAATTTTTTTCCTTGTTTTTTTAATTTTGCAGGATTTATTTGAGAGGCATAAAGTGGTGTTTACTATCTCCACATCTATTGCTTCAGTGGCTACAGCATGGGCTGGTATTTTTCTGTTTTTTTTTCCCCTTTTAAAAACCTATTATGTAATTCTAGTATTTTTCAGAAATTGGGATTTTCTGAAAGTTCAATCTTTGTTTGTGCCTGGAATTTTTAAGGGTTCTAATTGTTGTGTTGGATTTTTGGAACTGCATTATTAGAATTGGAGTACAAAAATTTGAATGGAAGTATTTCTAAGTGTGTATGCGACAGTACTACTAGCCTACTGAAACTTTTAAAACACGATAAATGAAGGGAATTGTATATTTTTACACGCTGTGCGGTTCATTTCGATCGAGAACTGTGACTCGAAATAGATTAGGGAAAAAGCCAAAATATACGGATTCTTGGCTTTTTATGGCCCATGAATTGATTGAAAATATATTTCAAGAACTAATTAAAATGGCATGGCAGATTGCTACTTAGCTGTTTGTTGAAGACTTGCGACACATATGACGTGGATGTTGATGCAGGTTATTCTTTACGGCACCTTCATCAGTCAAGAGTTGAAGAAAGGCTTCAATCAATTGAGAAAGCTGTAAGCATTTCCTAATATTTTAAGCTCTCTACCATTGCTTCTTGCAACACACAAAAACCATGAAATTCTTGGAGCCAGTAGATGAATAAGATTTGGAAATCAGCTATTTCAAACTCATCTTTTTATTATTCCCTTGTCACTATAACATTAAATTGTTTGTTTATTATTATCGGGATTCAACAAAATATTTAGTATTTGGTCTAGAAAGAACTGTTAGCTACCCCACTATGTAATTATAGATTATATTTTACATATACAATCTACTTCCAGTGTAACGGCCATGACCTAATCCTCAATGTCTTTCATACGACTACTTAAACATAGACCCTACCAAATAATAAGCTTCGTTTTCCCCTCTCGCCTCCTCTCAATTCCAATCTTGAATTATTTATACATGTGTTTGTTTAAACCTTGATCTTCAATATACTTGGATTAAGAATTTTGTAATTGACTTGGTTTTATGCATCATTAAGAGATGCAGTAGATGACGGATTGGGGATTGTGGTTATTTTTATAAGGTTTTGTGTAATCTTTGCATACAAAATATGGTGTTTAAGTTTAGAGACGACCGGACGTGTTTTAAGTATACATAATGTAGGCTGTTTACACGAAATAAAGCGGACCACTGCTCCGATATATCAACTAATAATTTCTTAAGTGACTATTGACTTTAATTCAACATTATTCTGGCGCTATGCTGCTTGACCATGATGTTCATTCAGTTTATCAGTTCATATATTGTATAGTTTTCGGTATCGGCAATTTAATGTAGCTTTGTTTTCCACTTTCTAAGTCAGTTTCGTTGCTTTGCCTTTCCTCTATCCTTTAAAAAAAATTCAATTTGAGTATGATATTTATTATGGCAGATGAAAAGCAATTACGAGATGAAAGAGCCTGAAATCAGAAGACTTGTTTCAAGAACTGTTAGCATCCCAGCTTGTGTTGCAACTGCTGGAACCAGTTTGATTATAGGGTCAGTTAAACATGCATTTTAATTTATTTTTCGTGATTTTTTTTCTTAGGAAGAACAGATAATATGCTTAAAGATCTCCATATAAAATATTCAGTAGATATGTGGAAAAAGAAAAAACGAATTTTGATTTTTGGTAGCTCGAATAAATATAAAATATTAGGAAATTCTCTTGATTTGTTATTAAATTCGCAGATATGGTTTGGGTTGGCGCGGTGGAGCATGGTATGCGAACAGAAAGCTTCGGGAAGAACAGATGAAATTACTGGGGACAATTAAGCAACAAAGATTTCACAAAGTGCTAAAGTTCTTAAAAAGGCCACTTAGAAGACCTAAACTCCAAGAAAGTGCTGCTTCTAAGATTTCCGATTCTTCGCCAAAAGACGCTTCTGTCCCTTGCACGTAAAGCTGAAAACGAGTAGATACCATATTTATTTACTTATAGGTAAATGAGAGTATGATGACAGACTATCTGAATTCTTTTTATTTTATTTTTTTATTTGAAATTAAAGGAAATTTTCGACATTTGTCCAATTCCTTTTCATTTTCATAAATAAGTACCCACTAACTAAGCACACATACACATGGGTATGTGTGTTATTATGTGTAGATCTACGGTTTAAAACTACATGGCGTATTTCACTAGGTGTAGATTCTACAAAACCTTCTTGAACACGGTCTCCCCAAATTAACATATTTATCCAAAATTTGGTTGGTATATCTTGCAGGTATTTCTTGCAAAGGCAAAACTGTTTGTTCGGGTTTCAGGGGGGCAAAATTGGACGAATTGGGTTGGAATTAGTTAGAGAAAATAAAATTCAGTTTCGTTCAAAACAAATTGGAAAATTTCAAAATGACAATTCGTGTTCCGAAATCAGAATATTTCATATTAGAATTCGCCAAATTTTATTGCATTTAGGAATAATAATATCCATAATATTTCACGCTCAGATATGTCACGTTGGGTATAATTTCAGACGATACTTAAACAAAAATTATAAGTTCAATTATTGAAAAATAATTGATAGACCAAATAGACATAATTCTAATAATTCTCATGTTATTGGCCGATTTCTCACAATTCTTTCAAAAATATGGTTTACTCGAATCTATAAATTTTAGCCTAGTGGTACCAGAAGTCTCTTCCGTAACGGTGTTTGGTGAGAGGTTAGAGCCTATTTGGATGCGTGCATGTATTGTCAACTATGTGTGGTGTATTATTTAGGTGTAGGATCTACAAAATTCAAATATATACAAGTCTCGTAATTCAAGAGCGTATCTCGTAATGCGAACTTTTCAGCCCACAATCTCGATAAATGGGCATTTTCTTATAATTGGAATGGATTTGTCTCCATGATTCTATTCCTTTGATTTGTTTTTGTGATGGAGGTTTTCCGATCGTAGACTCTTTAATTTTCTATTTCTTAATGCAAGCATTTTACTCATTAAAAAAAAAAGAATTGTGAACTTTATCGTCTTTTCAGAGATTCAATGTCAATTTTCATAGGTATCCTATTATATTTTCCTGTAATTTACTCGGTTTGTATATGTGTGTGTGTGCGCAGTGACAAATTATTATTTTTTAAATTCTATTAAAACGGAAAATCTTAATTAATTAGTCAGTAAAAAAATTAATCTAATATCATATAATTTAAACTAATCCGATATATACGCTCTTTTTTTTTACTTAGAAAGTGTGAGTAACAATATTACTTTATTGCCCTTCAATTCTTGTTTATCATTGCAGTATTTTGGCACAAGAAATGGAAGAAATCACTAACTACATTCCTTGCACCAAAATAGGGGTTTAACTTAATTGTTATACTGAACTGGAAAACAAAATCAGAATATTCAGTAACAATTCTTTGTAAAATAAAAACACACATACAAAACAGCATTTCCTCTCAATCCTTCTCATTCTCACCTCATTCCCCGAAACCAAGCGAACAAACGAAAAAAAAAAAAAAAAAAATCCTTCCCGATAAAATAAATTAACTTCAATTCGATTTGACAGTACATTCACCTCAAAAGACATGATGTGTATGTAAGGGAGGAAAAAGAAAAAAAAAAAAAAAAAAAAAAAGAAAAGGCAAAAATAAAGCAATGCCTCGATTCACTCTGTTTGTCAATCGGATTCGTTGTGAATTACCTCGGAAGATGCTTTAGAAGAATAAGGAAGAGAATCAGAAGGATCTCCTTCAATGCTTTTTGTACGATTCTTGTTGTTACTTGCAGTAGCTGCTCCATTGTTAATCCACTCACTCAAATTCGAAGATGTAGTCTCGTTTATTGGCAAAATTCTCTGAATATTGGGAGTATTATTAATATTAGGGATATAAGCATTCGCCAAAGGAGGGAGACTCATACTATATGCATACGGATGGTATCCTCCATCCATCGGGTGATCGAATCTACATGTGGGCCCGTATTTGCAAATCCCGTAAAGATTGTAGTGTGAACATATAGCTTGTCCCTGCATTTCAAGCACGCAAGTATCGAATCGTAGTTATTGAGTAATTATTATTTCAAAACCATGTGGGGTTGATAAAGAACAGAAAAGGAAACAAGCCACAAGTTCAAAATGCAATGCGGACTGAACCAAGATTAAGACGAGCAAAATCAAGACTAAATGTGAAGTGCTTTCACTAAGTCTAGTTGATATCTACAAGTTGAACCCAAAACCGAACGAATAGAAACATTTCATATACAAGTTGACTCGTCATAAATCAGCTATCTTCAGAGCATTCGAACATGTTACTGTGGATTTTGAGGATGAACTAGTCGTCACACAAAGAATGTAAAGAAGATGAATTAAGCACAACGACAAAGAAAATTGTTTTACGACAACAAAGTGATGGCAGTTTTTTGTAGTTAATTACAAAGTGATGGTAATGGTGAAGATAAAGATACGAAGCAACTTACAGGTCTTAAAGGAAGGCCAAGAGGGCCAAAAGAAATGGATGCTAATTTCTCTCTCGGGTGGTGATATTTGCAGTCGGGTCCATATTTACAACTCCCATGGTTCATAAAATAACGGCATTCTGGTTGATCCGGTCTTTCAGGCAGATACGACGCTGACATCATTCCGTTAGATAAATGATTCATGCCTCCCTATTCACAGCAATAGACAGTATTTGTTACTTCCGTAAGAAACAAATAATTATAATTATAAAAATTGCAACAAACCTGCGTTTATCGGAATTCATTTCTAGAATAAAACATACTAAAAGACGAAGAAAAATATGGAACCCGAAAAATATTTGAAGCAAAAAAGAGCAGAATATTAATACCGCGTATGCATTCCATCCTTGCGACTGAGATATAAATAAGGGCATGTAGCTTTGCGGAAGTTGAAGAGAAGTAGGGAAATAAGTCGCCTTTGCTGAAAGTTGAGGCACAGCAGACGAAGGCACAGCTGACGATGCAGATGCACCATAGACAGTTCCAACAACAGCAGGTAAGACATTTGGAGCTAACGCGGGTTGAGGGTGATGAAACTTGCACGCATATCCATATTTACATATTCCAGTCCTCATATAATACGGACATGCCCTTGAATCCTGAATAAATAAATAAATAAATACTAATAATTAAGCCCATAACTTCACTACAAAGAGAATACTCGAACATGGCAATAGATGTAAATAAAGACCTGACGCATTGGTAGGCCCAACATATTCGTCAAAACATCAGCCTGCCTTTCCTTGGGGTGATGATATTTACATGTAGATCCATATTTGCAAGTGCCTGTCTTCAGATAATACTGCAAGATAACGGCCCACCGATTAAAACAAGTTTTACCCTAAAAATAAAATTGAATCGACCCCTACTTTAGAGATCCAGTAAGAATCCTGACCCGAGAGTACCAAACAAAACCAGTGGATATACTCAACGCGTTTATAGACCATTAAATAAAATGTATTAGCTATCGCTTTGTAATGCAATAGCAACAGTTTGAACATACAACTATGTTAGAATTAATAGTAATAAGCATAAGCTTATTAGCTTCTGCAATGCAGACCAAATGGCTGATTCTATGATACCTCAAACAGTTTAGCTAATATAATAAACGCCACAGTATTGATCGTTTACGGAAGTTATTGGCATCTACGGATATCAAGGGTTTAGAAAAGAGTAAGCTCTCGTCATGTTCGAGTAAGTACTAAGTAGACACAACTTTGCCTATTTAGTAAGAAATTCAATTATTGACAATCCCAAAACAAGTTACTATTTCATAAACATATGTCTTCAAAGTTGACAAGTTCAGTGAATACGTAAAAGAAAGAACTTAAGGTCACTGAAACAAAAAGTCGGTCGCATCAGAAGGAAGTTACAGCACCAGTTATACGACAAGGACAAGAAAAATGCAAATATCAACCAAAATGCCGAGATAATTTAACTAGCATTAATAAAAAATAATAAGCACATAACTCAACAGTCAATAGTCAATTACTTGCAAAACGTAACATGCTACATTACCGTAAAGGAAAAGTAAATGAGGATGAACTCCCTATTCAAATTACTCCGAAAACGAGCAAGAAGCAGCATTGTTGCTGCTTTTTGAATCTAAGAACCAATGACTCGTTTGCTTAGTAAAAAGAATTATATTGCGAGTGAAAAGGGGATTTTTTTTTTCAAATCAATCTAAAATGAACATCATAGAATAGTGATAACCAAACTGGTACTGTGTTTAGTCAAGATTACCGTGTATAGGCATTTTTTAAGGTAACAATAACAATATATTACTTCTTGAAAAGATGTTTACCCAAACAAAACGATTAGGTTTCAGTATGCAATACGCATGAAAGAAATGAAAATCAAAAGAGGATTTTACCAGAATAAAAATATAAATACGAATGCAACACATGAACTCATCGCACCACAATCCATTAGAAAGAGAGAAAAAAATGAAGCGATTACCCCACAATCTGGTTGTCCAGCTCTTTCCGGTAGTTCAATGGTGGTGTTTTTAACACCGTACACCTAGCCATCATCGACAAAGAAATCGTTTAAAAATAGACGAACAAAGGACGAACAGGTAAGAGTGTAAAATAGATGAAATTGTTCATAATAACTACACACTTGTCCTCCTGCATTATTGAAGGGGTGATTGAAACGGCAATTGCTTCCATAACCACAAGCCCCTGTTCTCAAATAATATATGCAATCTGGTTCACCGGGTCGATCCGGGTACACAACCGGTTCATCCCCCACTTCACCATTTTCATCATTTCCTTCTACCTTCACCCTTCTCATCATCTCTGCAATTTAAACAAAAAATCAAAAAATCAAAAAACCAAAAAATCGATCCATTAATATTTTGGAAAATAGAATACATGAATCAATCAATCGCCGTTATCTCCGCTAACGGAAAACACATCGATCATCAACGATTATAAACAAAATCGAATAAAAAATTAATCAGGCACCCAAATTAAAAAAAAAAAAAAAAAAAAAAAGGTTTGATCTTTGAAAAGGAAAAAGGAAAAATTGGATACATACCTTCAACTGAATCGATCGCTGAAGCATTCCTCTGGAATTTACGATTCACCGGCATCGATTATCCGAATACTTTATAAACACGCACACACTGTACTTAATACGATAATTATACTCCAGATTTCGACTTCAATACTACACCAACTCAACACACATGCGCGTGATTATGATCATTTGACGAATTTCTTTTTTTTTTTTTTTCAGAAATCACGCCACTTTTTAATGGAAATATATATATAATATTTTAAATTAAAAAAGAAAATCAGGAGCAACAAACATCATTACTCGGATTCAATTCTATTCTATCATCATTCTTATTTGTTGTTAAAATAAAAAAAAATAAAAAAAAAAAAGGTTGATTTCTCTCTCTAAAATTCAGCCTTCAGATCTTCTTCGAAGAAGTCTGGAATTTTTAACTGCGAATTCCTTGCAAAAGATTTTCCTGCACCCGTGTACGATTATTATATTTAAGTTAATATTTCTCGAAATAATTTATTATATTCGATGTATTATATTTATATTATTTATTTAACAAAAAGTACGAGTAGTTGGGTGGGGGAAAAGACGGTATTACCCTCGACGTACATATAGTGACAAAGTTTGAGATTCTGCCCATAATTTGTGATGTTATATAATAATAATAATGATTATTGAATTGTTTCTTTGATCAGAATATTGCGTATGTGAATTTTGAATGTGAAATTTGCAAATAAATTGATGAAAAAGTAATAATATTGTCTTTTAAATGAAGTTCACTTATTTGTGAATTATTAATGAGAAGCAAATCTTAATTGTGTACATAAAAAAAGAAATTTGTTATGATATATTTGTATTTAAAAAAAAATTAGACTAACATACATGAAAAAATAGTAAAAAGTTCTATTGATTAATAATAAAATACTAGGAAGATTGTCTCAATTGAAATTTATGAAAGATATATACAAATAACACCGATGGTTGGTTTAGATTATATTGCAACTTTTCCTACAATGAAGAAGGGTCGGGTTACGCCTCCATGAGTATAGCTAAACTGGTTTGCGGGGTGGTAAGTTGGTACAAGAAGGGTCCGGTTACGCCTACGTGAGTATAGTTCAACTGATTGTGGGGTCATGATAAGTTGGTACAAGAAGGGTCGGGTTCGAATCGATCAAACCTCAGGTTTGCTTCTTCTTTAATCACGGGCCTAATCTCTTCAGTTGTAATAGATCTAACATGTTACGGGCCATTGGAGACGATTTTGGAGTGCTTCAATTGTTCGGTGACGCTATGAATCGAATGGTCGGGGCTAGGGTTCATATGAGCGGATCTAAGGTTTCCAAAATGACTATAGTCGACTATGGATGACTATAATATCCAAAGTAAGTTGCCATAGAAACTAATAAGTTGTGAGTTGGTTGAGTCGTGGGTACTATAATAGAATATAGAGGCTTTTATGCTAGATTACACTATCTTCAACTATATAATTTAATTTAGTACCCTTTGAAGCGAACTGTAGAATAACTTAGTATTAGGAAGATGATTTGACCATTCTTCGATTCGTTTGAGCCTTTCAAGTCTTGGTTTTTTAAAATTTATCCTAAAAGCATTTGATTGAGCTTTTGAGAACCAATGTTCTTTTCTATATCTTTATAAGATGAGTAAACGGCTGGAAAACAAATCTTGATAAAATAAACCCTTCAATGATTATTTTTTGTTGATTATTATATCTTAGGGAATGGCAGATAATGTGTAATTTAATTTTTGGGTAAATAGCATTTAGGTGGTGTTTGCAAAAGCTTTTTAAAAGTGATTATGAGTTTTTTTTTTGTTTATAATATGTTTTCAGATGTTTGCAAAATCAATTTTTGCTTTTGCTTCTCTTAAAATAATCTGCTTTAATCTATTTTTTTAAGCACCCCTAACCCTGTTTTTTCAATTTAAGTTCATTTTCCGGAATATTTGCAAACACCCCCAACTTTTAAAAATAAGCACTTAAAACTGACTTAACTCACAATCACTAACTTCTGCTTTTAAATAATCATTTGCAAACACCACCTAAACCCTTTTGTGGTTTGGACATTTTGCATATAATTCCCTTCTGGTACGAAATTCGGCACATAACGTCCTTGTGGTTTGGACATTTTGCACATAACTCCCTTATGGTATGAACTTAGACACACAACCCTCTTGTGGTTTTGACATTTTGCACATGACCGCCTTATGGTATGAAATTAGATAACCCCTTAAATAGAAAATTGGAAAAGACTAAACTACCTCTAAAGTTTAGCTAAATTACAACTATACCAACTGTTTGTTGGTTACTCTATCAAGTCAAAATTTCTTTCCTTTTAATTTGAAAATAATTATTCTATAAAATGAAAATCTTAATGTACTTTTTTGTAAAATGAGAAATATAATATATTATTGTTTTTTTTAATTTTAAAACACAAAAGGTATATAATACTAGTTATTGTGCGATTGAAAATTTATTAAATTTTAGAAACCAATTTAAAAATCTCATATGCTTCAAATCAAATATAAAAGAATTAACCTCGATATAAAATTATGAACTATCAATTTATTTGTTCAATAATAATTCGATAAAATAATTCTACATATTTCAAAACTTTAATATTATTATGATTATGATTATTATTCTAAATTGGACCTAGAAATGAGACATTGGAAGAATCGGTTTTTCTATATAGTATATTAAATTATAGTTGTTATTGAATTTTAACTTTTTAAGGAACAAAGTCTGTACTCTTTAGGGTTAGGGTTAATTTAGTCTTTTCCAGTTTTACATTCAAGGGAGTAATGCGCCTAATTTCATACCATAAGGGGGTCATGTGCAAAATGTCAAAACCACAAGGGGGTTACGTGCCTAATTTCATATCATAAGGGGGTCATGAGCAAAATGTCCAAACTAAAAAGGGGTTATGTGCCTAATTTCATACCATAAGTGGGTCATGTGCAAAATGTCCAAACTACGAAGGGGTTAAGTGCTATTTACCCTTAATTTTTTTTAAACCAACAGAGAGGACGTCAAATCCGAATCAAAAGCTCTAAAAAGAACCTCGACTTAAATAAATGAAACTAGAAAACCATCTCGAGAGGACCAGTTAATTAAATTCTTAATTCTTAACAATCACTCTAATATCTCTCGAAAGAAAGAAGTAAAAACGATGACTTATATGTGCTAAATCCAGGAATAGCAACATGTGCTTAATCACTCTAAATATCTAAGAAATTATTCCACCGAACGTACTCCCCTCTAGATCCAGGAATAGCAACATGTGCTAAATGTCATGTCCAAGCTAAGGAACTTACACTCTTCGGTCCTGACAAATGATGATTCAACGAGATTTGGCATTGAAATACGAGAATATTTTTCCAAAATATGTAATATCAATTTTATTGGATAAAAATTATAAAATATAAAAAGAAATACAAAACAAATAAAAAAATTAATGTTAGAAGATATGTTTAGTTCTTTTTATATACATCTTCCTTTTAATAATTATATTATGAAGAAATATATTATATTTTTAAAATTGTAAAAAATTACTTTTTTTGTAAATATATTACAATTTAGCCCCTAAGTAATTAGTATGCTTATAATTAACCATCAAGGTCAAACATGACATTTTCAAAGAAATATTCAACGGAATTAAAAAGATTTTGTCAAAAGTAACACCGTAGGAGAGCTGTGTAAAACGACAACATACGTCGGAGAAATTTTCGTAATTAGTAATTACATAAATGAAGGATTTTTCATAATTAGATCTTATCTCAGGAGGTTTCTCATAATTTGCCCAAAATATAATCTGACTTTAATTTGATTTGAATTTTTGTAAGGAACTGAGTAATTGGTAGAAATTAGATGATTGAAAAATATAATTAGGGTTTTTAGTTTTTTTTAAGTTTCAGTTTGTTTTGAAAAAATGTAGTAAAGATATTTAAAATAATATAAACTAAACAATCATTAATTAAACTATTTAAAAACAACATAGAATAAAGTAATTAAATACATTATACATAATCTAAATACACAATAATTTATTTTTTTAATGGGATTATTTTATTATCTTTTAAATTAAAAGGAAAAAATTATATTATGTATTTTACATATAATTTTTAGTTCAACTCGACTAACAAAATAAAACCATAAGTTGCTTTTTTGTATTTGTTTAACATGCAAGCAAAATAATAATTTAAAAGTACAAAATCAAAAATAAAAAAGATGTTCAAGAATAAAAAGTTAGTATCCTCTTGTTCAATTGATTTTTTTGGTTAAAATCTAAAAAATATAGGATGCAATCTGCCGAGAGATATAATTTGAGGGTGGATTTTGCTAATTCTATATTTTCAAGATGCAAACTGCCAATCATTATCAAATTTGGGGTGCAAAACACAATTCACCCGTAGAAAAATTATTGAGTATCACAATGATAAAATATTGTTGGGCCAATTAAATGAATGTTTAAGGGCCCTATCTCCCCCCTATATTTTTATTTCAATAGTAATAATATTTAGGATGCCGCTTCTGAAAATACTCGTTTAACTAAGTGTAAGACCAATAAAAAGAAAGACGCTAAAAAATATAATGAAATGACTAATAGAACCATCACCTATTTTCCTCTTGTTTTTTCGAAATACCAAAGTACAAAGTTTAAGTTTCCAAAAAAAATAAAAGAAAAAAAAAAACGAAATAAGAAAACAAATCAGAGCATAACATGCAACACCAAAACCCTCCATCTTTGCCGCCTGAGTTCGCCGTCGCCACCGCCACCGCCACCGCTACCCAATCCTTCACAGTAAGATGAAGAGTGCTCCAACACATACGCATGCAATCTAACACCGAAGACCAAACCCCTTTAAAAGGGCAAAAAGTTGAATGAGCGTTTAAAAGTCAAACTTTTTTGTTAAAATATATCATTTAGAACTTTCAACAAGTATGTGGTTGTAGATTATGCTTAATAGTTGATCATTTTGAGTTAGATTTGATTTTTAGAACATTGTCGATCTACTACGGAACTCGACGTGCAAATGTCGATTTTGGGTATATTTGCTCGACATTTGCAGGTCGTTTAATGCCAATATTTTTTGACATCAACCAAATGTTGATTTTCTGTACACTGGGCATGACATCTAAGCGTCGAATTTTGTGCATTCCGATGGATGCTAAGATGTCAAAATAAGTACGTTTCACTCGACATCTGAATGTGAGTTTTGGGGACAAAATTCAATATGTAAATGTCGAATCGTGTCTGCGCAAAAAGTTTTTGAAAAACGATAACTTAACTAATAAAACATATAAATTCATACCTCCTTGAATTCTTCCACCGTAGAATGTTCCATTTTGATGTTTTTGAGTCCACATTTGCCTTTGAAAGGTTTGTTGAGTTTTGAGAAATTTGAATACTGAAGTTTGTAAGAGGAATGAATTTTTTTTTTTGTGGATTTTGAAAGATGGAAAATATGATAATTTTGGTATGTGGTTAAATTTTTATGGTTTTTATTTTTAGTATATGGTAATACAACAATTTTTATTGTATTTTTTAACAAGTAATGCTATTATAATATTTGTATATTAAAAGTTAATTTGATCTTGCACTGAATGAACCTACTATTGCAAATAGCCGCGACTTGATATTTATTAGACAAAAGTAAAAACTGTTTTATGCGATTAAAAATTGAAGTTCTTATACTTAAAAAAGAATCAAATTTCATAATTGTTTTTTAGATTAAAGTAATTTGTAAATATAAGCATTCTAGGGGGGAAGAAAATAAAAATAAAAAAAAAGGACGAAAAATAACTTTAATAATCATTTAAAAAATATTTAAGTGGAGAATTAATAAAGTGAAAATGAGGAATTTCTGGTGAACAGTGGATGAGCAGAAAAGTGAAAAATGTCAGATTGAGGCCCACCAACCCCAGAGGCACAACAATTGACGCGATTCGATTCTCTTTCCCTATTTCTCGATCCACTTCACAACAATCGCCTAGGGATGGGTGACAGCTCGATCGGAGTGGTGGTGCCGGCGGCGGAGCTGCAAGGAGATGAAGCTTTGGAGGAGGCGGAGGCGGAGGCGGAGGAGAAGGAACTGATGTGCCCTATATGTATGCAGATGATAAAGGATGCTTTCTTAACAGCGTGCGGCCATAGCTTTTGCTACATGTGCATCGTCACTCATCTCCAGAACAAGAGCGATTGCCCTTGTTGCTCTCACTTTCTTACCCCTTCTCAGCTCTTCCCCAATTTCCTCCTCGATAAGGTTGATTTTGTTCCTATTTAGCCATTTTTTGTTTTATGCAGCATGATTCAAATTAGGTTGTTTTTACTTTTAATTGCACAAATGAAAATCTGCTGCGTTTATTTTATTCTGTTAATTTTTGCTGTTTGTATTCGCAAGTTACTTATTTTATTTTTAAACCTCTGAGAGATGATTTCATTCATTGAGTGTGTGATGATATACCGGCGGTTCGAAACTATTTGCGTGCTTTCATTGCATGGTTCCTTACCTAGTTTGCGTCTTGAAATTATTTTGCTTCACAATGCAGCTTATTGTGATAAGGTTTCTCTGTACCAAATTTGTAGCTACTGAAGAAGACATCTGCTCGTCAACTATCAAAAGCCGCATCTCCTGTAGAACAATTCCGTCAGTCATTGGAACAGGTGATTCTTATTTAAGAATTCATTGAATATTATTTAGTTAAGATATAAATGGGATTTAGTTTCTTTTTTAGTATGTTTCTTCATTCTCCTTAGTTTCCGTGGTTGTTTTTACTCTACTTTAGCTACTTTTACTTGGTCATTGGTTATAGATGAACTTCCTGCATCTGAGGTAGATATAATTTCTCTTTGGTTCCTCACCCACCCTGCCTATTGGTCTTACTTTTCTTGCTCTTATCGGGCACCATATAATGTTTATAGAAAATTAACTCCTGAATACTATTGTTTAAGAAATTTTCTTTGCCATCTATGCTTGATTGCTATTATATCCTTAATTCATCTAGTTTACTAAAAGAAACTGCAATCGAGTGCTCAGTTCATTGTGATATTATGCACAAATGTCCATTCTTTTGGTAAGACTTCAAGAGTTTTAGCCTCTAGGTGCCTTCTCATCCAGAAGAGTTATGGTTCTTCAGCTAGTTTTTCTCTTTCCTGAAGTGTTTCATACGTGGGTGGTGGGTGTTGGGTGTTAGACATATATACACAATAAATGAAGGACTTTAGAATATGTTCTTTTGTATGCCACTTATAAACACCTTGAAAGGGATACCTTTTGGCATTGTTTCTTATATCCAAGTAATTTATATTTGTTGTATCAACAGTATATATATGTTTTCCATATGAACAATTTTTGAAAAAAAGTGGAACTTGACTAGAAGCATTAGGTCTTCCAAGTTAGCTGGTAAAAATTTAAGAAGTATGTTTTATTAGATACTGATAAGAACATTCAGTTCTGTTGACTTTATTTTGTTGTATTTTCATTTGTTGCTTTTCGCTTCTCTTTCTTCCTTTTCCGATTTATCAAAATGTTATTTTTGAAAGGTAAATTATATCCACCCAAAATGAGGTGCTTTCCAATCAGAGCCGACAAATATATCTATTTATGTATATTTGTATATATCGTCTAAGAAGTGAGCAAAAGACCAATATCTCTCAGCAAAATATTCCTTAATCCAATATAGAGAGCATAAAAGATTTCTTCAACCTTTTCTCCTTTCTGTAACAAACTTGAGTATTTTTCTCTTCCACAAGATACAAAGTATATAAGCTATTCAACAGGTCAAAAGCATTGTTGGTTTCTTAGTCTTGCAGTTATTTTTTTTTTTTAGGATTCTACATAGATTGTGATATTTTCCATCACCACTTCTCAATCTTTTCATTTTTGTTAATTGCAAGCCTAAGATATTTTCAGACTCCTTTTCTAGGTTCTGTTTCCACACCTAACATCACACATGTAACTCATTAGACCGCCTCCACCTGAATAATATTAAGTATCCTGCACTTATTGGTATAATGGGCATGCATCACATTAAATAGCGGGCTCAATATGATGAGTATAAATTGTAATGGTAGTAAAACAACTTTTCGGTTTTGCACAAATCACAATAATGGATAACTATCTTGTCACCCCTCGATATGGCATTTGCTGCATCTGTGCTTAACATGTTTTCGTAATCACGAGTTATTGTGACTATATTACTGTAACAAAACCCATTGTCGTTTTGATTATGGTGCCAACCAGGAAATTTTTCGTTAACCTAATTTCTATTTACTCAACCTGAATAGTTTATTCCTAATAATTCAGTGAAGCACGCAATCCCTCAATCCTAAGCTACTTCCCATATCTGCTCTTTCTGCAGAGGCTTGATGTATTTTCTCCTTAGACAGGGTTGTGAAGTATCAGTGAAAGAGTTAGACTCTTTATTGTCTCTGCTGGCAGAGAAAAAGAGAAAATTGGAACAAGAAGAAGCAGAGAGAAACATGCAAATTCTGCTGGATTTCTTACACTGCTTAAGGAAGCAAAAAGCTAATGAACTCAATGAGGTTTGTCATAATAAATTTGAAGTAAGAGAAGTGGTTTATGTGAGTAAGATAATGAGATATTTATTTGGCATTTATAATTTGTTAGCTTTTCTAATTAAATTGAATAATTTTGTATGCTTGCTGAGTAAAGTTCCTCCTCCAAAATCCCAGTGAAGCTGTATGGTATTGGAGGAATTAGCTATGCTTTAGCTGGTAGATTTGATGAATTTTGGTTACTGGTAATACATTTTATGTATTTTGCATAATTGCGTAATACATTATTATAAAATTCATGAAACTTTCCCAAACTATCTACTAAAGAAAAATAATTTCCAAACGTTTGTACGTTGAGTGAAGAGAAGCTGATTTTAAATAAAGTCAGTCGGCAAGAAATCTACTTCAATTGTAACTTTTTTAAGTTTGAATTTTAAAAGAAACCAGCCGGGTGAAAGCTGATTTCAAAGGAACATGAAATCAAATCTGAATTTAGAGCCATGCATTTCATAATTTCCAATAAAAAAAAATGTTGAATCCTCTTTGAATTTTGGGAAAGCGCCTCATTTTTCTCAGTGGTTCTTCTGTTGCCTTGGGTTGATGTCATCAGTTAATGTTTCTGACGATTGAGTTAAGTTATGCTTCATTGTTTAGGTAAATGAGTAATGATATGAAAATGATGTTTAGTTGCAGATAATATTGAACGGAATATCTTTCAAATATGGACGGGATGGGATGGGATATCATTTACATGAAGTCCACTTTGTTGAAATTCAACAAGAGAGACTCTTTACAATTCTAATGAGAAATATTTTGGTAATTCCTTGTAGAGATTATGATTCCTCTTACTATTCTTCTCTGTTAGGTGCAAAATGATCTCGTGTATGTCAAGGAGGACTTAAATGCAGTGGAACGACGTAGGATAGAGCTATACCGTGCAAGAGAAAGGTACTCTGTTAAACTGAAGGCCTCTGATGATCCTGTCAGAATGAGATCTCGGACTTCTTCAATGGAAAGAATTGTAGGTCCTGCATGCAACTCTTGCACTACAAAAGGAGGAATGACTTCTGTGAACATGCAGTACAAGAAAAATGAGGGAAAAGTTCATATTAACCCCCTTGGATCCCAGATCAAGGATGCCACTTTTAGTGGACCGACTTCGCAACAGATAAGCCAATCTGGTATGGCTGTTACACGAAAGAAGCGCGTTCATGCACAGGTTAGCGAATGTTTAATTGACAAGCCCCTATCTGCAAAATTATCATATAACTGCAGAACGCCTGAGTTTATGTGAAAACTGGACTTGTCGTATACTGCATTAGATCAGACCTATGTGAGTAAATTGTTGGGGATAAAATTGTGTTGAAGATCTCCAAAAAATGTTTTATTGTATTTTTTTTGCCTTTTCAGTTATTCACAGATGCATCCCATAAAAATATCATCAACAAAATTTATCATGATTGTTCATTGTTGTGTTGTGATTTTAATTAAGGGTGTTTTTAATCTCACGGACCATCCTTCCTTGAGATTGGACATGCATTCAGCACATAGCTGAATCACAATAAGTCACTTGAGAAGAATATACACAAAAATTTCTTGGTCCATATGATCACCTTTTACTATTTATATGTAACTAATTCATTTGTATATTGCAGCTTGTTTGGAGTCGGTATATAAATTTTCTTTTGAACATTAAAACTAATATACATGGATAAATTTACTTGTCTCATCTTCTCCTTATTCTTGAATATAGCAATGTAGACTGTTTAGTAATTTGAGAAATCAGTGTTAGTCGTATGTGTTATAGTCAGTCAAGTATAATCGGTTTGATTTTAGTAATTACTTGTGAATATCAGAATTAAGAGAGAAGTATTTAATAATAAAACACAGCCATTTGGCGTAAAACTATATTAAAGACAATTTGTTATTATCATGTCCTGTTTGCTTCATACTATAGAAATTATAAGATTAGAGATTGTGACGTATAACTATATTTTTGTTTTTTTAATAAACATAATATGATGCAAGTGCATCCCTATCTACTGGATACTTTAAGATGAGTTTGTATCTTAATTGTAACAGACTTGCTGTAGAACACTAAGCAAGCATGATTTTTTTTTTTTTCCGGTTTAATAGTTATTCTAGAATAAAAAATGGAGTTTTTGTACAAGGAGAGACTAAATAAATTCACAAGTGTAATGCAGGGTTGGTTTTAACTGATTCTCATTGGAAAGTTGATGTTCCACTTAGTGTTTTCTGCTGCCATGTTCACCATAAATATGAATTTGAATGTATTCCTTCGCGTTATTGAATTTCATTTGTCTATTCTTTATTATTTCCTTCTAACTGAGCTTGAATCTTTCACAACCAGTGTGAATAATTATCTTCTATATGTTCGTCTGTTTGTTGGTTTCTTTTTGTTTTTTTACCAATAGAAAGTCAGGGAAGAATGGGCTTTATGCATAAAATAATGTTTACTGGAAATTGGGTCTCTGTTTGCTTAAATTATCTGCTACCTGGCTTTTCAAATTCTCTCGTTGAGGAATCATTGTCATCTTGCAGTTTAATGAACTTCAAGAATTTTACTTGCAAAAGAGACGCCAGTTGGTGAACCATCTAGAGACCCACGAAACAAAAGATAAAACTAACATTACTAGAGAAGGTTATAGTTTGGCCCTAGAAGATTTCCAGTCGGTTCTAAGTACGTTCACCCGGTACAGGTAGGCCCTACATTTCAGTTCCACTAAGATTTTTTTACCATTTACACATGTTTACTCATGTCTTCTAATTATGGTTTATGGCCTTATTTGGAACAGTCGGTTACGAGTAATTGCTGAACTTAAACATGGGGATCTCTTTAACTCGGCCAATATTGTTTCGAGGTAAGTTGGAAGTCTGGACAATTAGTTCCTACTTATTTCATCCAGGTGTCTCAGACTCTTAGTATGTAAAGCCTGCTGATAGATAATGGGTTTTATACAAACTCAACTGAAATAAAGTCCAAGTTGGCAAATCACAATTACCTTACCCAACAAAAAGAAATTGGGATTAAAAGATGATTACTCTTGAGTTGGAGTGGAGTAAACAAGGATCCTCTCCAGTACCTCTGTCATAAGTTTACTACTGTAGCATACACCTCTGTCATAAGTTTACTACTGTAGCATACAGTTCTTTAGAAAAGTGTCGATCCGGATGATAATTTCACATAACAAAGAAATTAGGATGTATTTGTTCATCTAGAGACGATCCTTGTCTACCAATTTTGCAGGTTAATCAAGATCATTGACACTCCCCAATATGAAAAGAAAATCAATGGATTGAAGTTTAAACACATTGTTATATGTCCTTGTAGAATTCAGTTCTAAAATATTTCATTTTGAAGAAATCAGTAGATTTTCTGGTATGTTGACCCTCCAAGATCAACAAGCATGGGATACCCCTTATTGATTTTATGATACTTCTGTGTAACTTCTAGAATCCTCTGTAATCAGATTTGTCTTCCTGTCTTCTCTCTATTTTGTTTCTATTCTGGTGCTGCTTAAATATGTGAAGTCACTCTCCTTGTTGCAGTATAGAATTTGATCGTGATGATGAGCTGTTTGCCACTGCTGGAGTTTCACGGCGCATAAAAGTTTTTGATTTCTCTTCGGTAGGCTTCTTTTCCCCTATACACCTCCCCTTTCTGTTATGGTATTACATTTGTCCAACACGTATTGATATCTTTTATCGGTGGAGATATTAATGTTGAAGGGTATAACATCCTAAGGATCAATGGTGCAAATTAAAAAGAAGGATTCTAGTATGATCCATATGAATTAGTCAAATATGCAAGGTTTTACATTGACCGACAAAGAGGGAAAGTGTGTCATAAAGTTGTCTTCTCAATGATTTTCACTAAAAATAATTACTGTGCCAGATTAGAATGGTCTGTGATCATTGAATCTGGACTGCATGCTGTTGTTTTACTTCAAATTCCTATGGTATCTGCAATAAACATATTAGAGCATCAATGAGCTAATGTATGCAAGATTAACTTCGGCTCACGGAGCATCATTTCAGTTGTAAACCTGAAATTTATTTGTCAGGCCATGTTTAAAAGATTCCTTCCGGATGCTAATCTGACTTTATGCTTGTCTTACAGGTTGTTAATGAACCTACAGATGTGCACTGCCCTGTTGTGGAGATGGCAACACGATCTAAACTTAGCTGCCTGAGCTGGAACAAGTTCACCAAAAACCATATAGCTAGTAGTGATTACGATGGAATTGTAACTATTTGGGATGTATCCACACGGCAGGTAGATGTGGCACACACATCAACTCATCAACTATTATTTTGGCTTATAAACACTATAAACTATCCATTCTCAAGACTGAAATTGGTTATCAAATATCTGCAGTTTGAGAAAAGTTTTTAGTTCGTTAACAAATGCTAATATTTTTTGGGCTTATCCAGAGTGTCATGGAATACGAGGAGCATGAAAAACGTGCATGGAGCGTTGATTTTTCCCGAACAGAACCGTCTATGCTTGTGTCTGGCAGTGACGACTGCAAGGTAATGTAAAAATGCTTTTTATGCTCAAACAGAAGTCCTAACTAGTTATCTAATTATTGCAACCTTGTATACATGATACTGGGAAACGTAGAAGGCAAGCGATTTTATTAGTAGTAGTTTGAGATAGTTAAAGAGTTCAGTCCTATTCATTTATCTCATCTAATCAATATTAACAAAATTTGATGTCCCTCTACTGTTTTTCATGCCATCAATCCCCAAATCATGGCTGTTGTTTGAGCTCTTTGGATCATTCCAGAGATTTCAAGGCAAATATTGAAATTCGAATAACAGTATATGTTCAATAATTTCTAGTACTAGTTTATCCCTAAGAAGTAGTTAAACTAGGGCTCCATAATTACAAAAGAATGCTGGTACTTAATCTTGTTTTCTGCATCTAAGAAAACTTAATTAATTCTCTTTCATCCATCAAGACCTTTCTTGTTTACACTCTCTGCAGATCCAGTTTCCATTAAGATCCCTTCTTGATAACAAGTGATATAAATTTCAGGTTAAAGTGTGGTGTACGAACCAAGAAGCTAGCGTCCTCAACATCGATATGAAGGCAAATATATGCTGTGTAAAGTACAATCCCGATTCTAGTAAATTTGTCGCGGTAATATTCTTTCTTGTTCCCCTATTTCAATTCCTGACCCTCCTTAATTTCTTGGTAATGATAATGGAGTTCCAGTGGCAAATGAATAGATTTTAATAAACCTATTTATTTTCTTTGTTGTTGAATTCGGTAAAAAATGTGATCTGCTGGAACCGCGGATATATTTTTCGTTGGTCACTATTTTTTCACTTAACACATAGAAGTGGTATTCACTTAAATCTCCAAAGGTTTCATGCTGGTACGCAAGCTTATTTAATAGCCCCTTCAAATTATTATTAACAATACGAGTAGTGGAGTTCATCAGACTCTTGCAACCACTGAAGTTCATTCGAAAATTGAATTTCACTAGTCAATGATAACATGCATGTTCTATATCCAAGTAGATTTTACTATCTCCACCACACATACATTTCCTAACAAATAAGGAAAAGCGGGCAAAAGATTACTTCAAGAGTACAAAAAGAGAAAAAAAAAACTTGAGGAGCCTGCATCTTTGAATAATGAATGCCATTTGTGATTAACTTCCACTCAAATTTACAAAGTTAATATTGTGTATATTTTGTCTAAAGCACACATCTAATACGTGCCATGTTCCTACGCAGGTTGGTTCTGCCGATCACCATATACATTATTACGACTTAAGAAACACTTGCCACCCACTCTACGTGTTCAGTGGCCATAAAAAGACAGTTTCGTATGTCAAATTCTTGTCGAGCAATGAGCTTGCTTCTGCTTCAACAGATAGTACTCTGCGACTATGGGATGTCAAGAAAAATTTGCCGGTAAGTTCCATATTAGTTAGATATGTTTATTCCCAGGGACCTATAGAGTTCATTACCTGATGTATGAAAACTATCGTCGGGTGCTTGCTGTCTTTTTTAAGTTATATTTTACAAATTTGTTAAGAGTATTGTTTTCAGGTTCGTACATTTAGAGGGCATACAAATGAGAAGAATTTCGTCGGTCTCACAGTGAATAGCGAGTTCCTATCTTGTGGCAGTGAAACAAACGAAGTGTTTGTCTATCACAAGGTAAGGAATCAGCTCTTGTTTTTGTCAAACTCTTACATGTTTGGAATATCATAACATTTAAAAATCGGTAAAATTTAGGCCATCTCCAAACAAGCGACATCGCATAAATTTGGATCTCCCGATGTGGAAGATGATAACGAAGAAGAATTAGGATCTTACTTCATCAGTGCGGTGTGCTGGAAGAGTGATAGCCCCACCATGTTGGCTGCAAATAGTAGAGGAACAATCAAAGTTATGGTACTTGCTGCTTGATCATTTGTACAGTTATTAATTGGGGTTATGGATCTTAGAGAAAAATGAGTGAAAATTGTAGCATAAAATCCACTTTGTCCAGGTTTTATTTTATAATTCTTTTGCAGAAAAGTGTGAAAAATTGTAGCATAAAATTCTACTTTGTCCGGCTTCACTAGTGATTATTTCGCGATTTTGCATATTCGGTACTCGAGGCTGGTATTGGATAACCAAGTTATTTCGCTCTTGTTTACATGTCCGATAAATATGTATAACAAATTCATAGAAATTAAAGGATTAAATGAATTGCGCTGGCTTATGATCTTCGTAAGTTGCATGAGCCGACTGGACACGATTGAACTAAAAAGATTTGAACTTGAGTTCTCAAGCTCACGTGTATTTTAATGTGTGGATTTTGGGCTATAATATTTGAAAGAATTGAGTGCCTCAGAATTTGTTAAAATAATATAAATTTTTATAAAACCATTATCCACAAGTATATATTTGAAAGAGTTGAGTGCCTTCGAATTTGTTAAAATAATATAAATTTTTATAAAATCATTATCCACAAGTATATAACTTGTGGATGAAACCTTTATAAGCTAAAACCAGTATTCAAAAGAATACAATTTAGAAGCCAAGCTCTTCTCTTCTAAGAAGGAAACACAAGACGATTTCTTCTTAGACTATTCCTAGTAACTAGTACAAAAGCACTCAATGATGTACTAGGAATACAATTTAGGATTCAGTAGGATTGAATACACAACAGACTCAATTCTGTAATGAGAAATCTGTAAATAATACAAGGTGTTGTAGACGGTGTTCCAACACTCTCTGCTATGCGCTCTTGATTCTCGTCAGAAATTGGTAAAAATGAACTTGGATCTTCTCCTATTTATAGAGTTCAGGAACATCATGTCCTGCACGAGAATAGCACACTAAAAGAAGATAGAGAGTTAGTGGGATAATGGGTTAGTGAATAAATACGCATAAGTTTAAGGTAACTACCCACTAAGCTAACCAATAACCGCCCACTTACTCTAAATAAATCCGAATAATAATAAATAATAAAATGATATTAACTCGGCAACAATATTCAAAAGTTTTTGGTCCAATTTTGAACTTTTTATCTGTTTTGTTAGAGAATATATCATAATATGAAGGGCCAATAAGAAATACAACTTCTTTCTCAGTTTAATACTACTTTGCTAACAAAATAGATAATAGGCACGTAATAAATATGTAATAACGTTAATACTCTTAATGAAAATCAATACTCCACAAATATAAAACAAATCTCATTTTTCTTTCTTTAATCCAATACACACAAAACCCTCACACCCATCTTCTTGTTTACAGATTTCTTCCTGCTTATTCTTCTACTTATACTTGTGTTGCTTCTTCTTCTTCTCTTCCTTCTTCTCTTCTTCTCCTTCTGCATGATAACTTTTGACAGCTAGCTGCCATCGCCCGGTCGTTTTAGGGGGTGGGGAGTTTTTTTTTCTTTTCTTTAGTTTGGTCTTCAACTAATTAAAATGAGAAAAATGAGTTTTTTCTTTCTTTTTTTTTATTTTTTTATTTTTTTTATATAAGGTGTATTTTACGAGTAAGGGTCGACATCAACGTGTCAAAAATTTTACAAAAATCGACATGTAATTATCGACAATTGAAAAATATATAAAATGTATAAGTTTTATATTTTTATATATAAAATGTCAAAATTTTGAAATAAAAATCAACAGTTAAGAGTCGAATTTTATTTCAAAGTCGACCGTATACGTGTCGAAAAATTCTCAAAAATTGACATTTACTGACTGCGCAACCTCCATCGAAATTCAAGACAAAAACGACCGAATCAAGTGCACATAACAACAATTAATCGAACATTTAGTAATCAACATACATATTTGTTAAACTATGGTTCTAATCTACGGTTTATGGCACTTAATCCACTTGGGATTATGCATGTGAGTTGCACATGCATATGGTCACGTGAGCTGCACATGTAGATGCAGTGGCGGATCCAGGATTTTTGCCAAGGGGGTTCGAAATTGTAGAGTAAAAAATTTAAATATCACTTTATAAAAATAGTGGACCAAAAATTTACAATTTAAAAATTTTAGGTGAATTGTGGAAATATTTAATGAGAAAAAAGGTGAAAATGTTAAGATTTTATAAAAATAGTGGACCAAAAATTTACAATGTAAAAATTTTAGGTGAATTGTGGAAATATTTAATGAGAAAAAAAGGTGAAAATGTTAAGATTTGGAAAAAAAAAATCAAAATAGTGGAACAAAAAGGTGAAAAATGTTAAGATTTGGAAAAGAAATCAAAATGTGTGAGTGGAGCTCGAACCCGTGACCTGTTAGTAAAGGGAGGCATATCTTTACCACCTCAACCACCTACTTTTTCTGTCAACATATGTATAATAGTAGTATTTATTTAAAATCAAGGGTGTGCAGCTGCACACCCTAGACCATAGCTAGATCCGCCACTGTGTAGATGGTAGGTAGAGCTGATTCTTGGAGGAAAAGAAAGAGCTCTCATTGGCTGATATAAGTGGAAGGCACATGGGATCATGTGCCTCGGTTGGGATATATATAGCATCATATCTGCTGTGCTAAAGGCAACGTGAGCAACACTAGAGAGAGAGTGCATTACACTGGGAAACACGAAAGCGGAGAGAGAGTGAAACTCCTTTCGGGTTTGGGTAGGGTTTCTATCAGATCTGAGCTGGTTTTGTGCTCATGATCTGATCTTGTTGCTGTGTACGTGTAATTGTAGAAATCTCTGAATATAGTGGATTGGAGTGTACTGCTCCCGGGGATGTAGAACTCACACCGAGTTCGAACCTCGTAAAATTGCTCTTGTTCATTGTTCTTCTTTGATTACTGTGTGTGTGTGTGATCTGTGTGCATGAGTGTGTGTATTGATCTTATACGGCATAATCACTCATTTGATCACCTTAGATTCATAACAAGTGGTGCGGTGAGCGTGGATCGATTGAAGGTGACTGGTTAATTCAAATTGTGCATCAATAAACACAGATCTATACCTTCAACACAGTCACAGATTCAGATCTGAAGAAGATGAGTTCCTCTAAGTTTGAATTTGAGAAATTCAATGGTGAAAATGACTTCACTATCTGGAGGATAAAGATGAAGGCCTTAATGGTTCATCAGGGTACTTTTATAGCTCTAGATCCTAAATCCTTAGCTGCCATTGAAGATCAAAAGGCAATTCCAGAGATATTATCAAAAGCTCACAATGCTCTGATTCTGAGCCTTGGGGATGAGGTGTTGAGGGAAGTTTCAGAGGAAACTACTGCCCTAGCTATTTGGGAGAAATTGGAGTCAATCTATATGAAGAAATCTCTGGCAAATAGATTGTATCTAAAAAAAGAAGCTGTACACACTTCACATGGAAGAAGGCACTGAAACCAGAAAGCACTTGGATGAGTACAACAGGATAATCCTTGATCTGCATTCAGTTGGAGTTAAAATTGAAGAAGAAGATCAAGCTATTATCCTCCTCAGTTCATTACCAAAGACATATGAGCATATTGTGGATACAATGCTATATGGGGAGAAAACACTCACTATGACAGAGGTCAAGTCAGTGCTAAACTCCAAGGAGCTACAGAAGAAGCAAAGAGAGCTCAAATGTAAATGGTGATGGACTCACAGTGAGAGGAAGAACAGAGAAGAAGGACCAAAGGAAAGGAAGAGGAAAATCTAGATCTAAATCTAGACAACCTAACAGAGATACCAGAAGATGCTACAAGTGTAAAAAGGAAGGCCACATTAAGAGATTCTGTCCAGAAAGAACACAGAAGAAAGTGGACTCTAACTACAGTGATAAAGGAGATGCATCTATAGCATCTGATGGTTATGAATCTGCTGATGTATTGACTGCCACCTATGTAGAAGAGGGAGATGTTTTAGTAACATCATACCCAAATTCAGGTGGAGAATGGGTACTTGATTCTGGATGCTCATTTCATATGACTCCAAACAAGGAATAGTTTCAAGATCTCAAGGAATCAGAGAAAGGAATGGTGCTTCTTGGAGACAATAAAACTTGCAAGATCTTGGTAATTGGAGCTGTAAACTTGCAGCTATCCTCTGGTCAAAAGAAGCTGGTAAATGGAATGAGGTATGTTCCTGCCTTGAAAAGAAACCTTATATCTATTGGTAAGTTGGATGAAGCTGGTTATGAAATGAGAGCTAAGAGTGGAGTGATGAAAATCCTAAAAGGATCTCTGATAGTGATGAAGGGAATTTTGAGAAATGGCATTTACTTCCTAGATGGTTCTGTGTCAGCCAATACAACTGATGTTGTAGTATTGGATGATACAACGTTATGGCATAAAAGGCTTGCTCACATGAGTGAAAGAGGAATACAAGAGCTTGTGAGGCAAAAGCTTCTTGATGGAAGCAAGATTAAAGAGCTAAAGTTTTGTGAAAATTGTGTTTTGGGAAAAGCAAAAATGGTGAAGTTCAGTCAAGCTGTTCACACAACTCAACACAATCTTGAATACATTCACTCTGATTTGTGGGGACCTTCAAGGACTGAGACTATGGGAGGTTGCCGATATTTCATGTCACTTATTGATGACAAATCTAGGAAAGTGTGGATTTATCTGTTGAAAACCAAGGATGAAGCATTCTCAGTTTTCAAAGCATGGAAACAAAAGGTAGAAACTCAAACTGGTCTGAAAATCAAACATCTAAGAACTGATAATGGCTTGGAGTTTGTGTCAGAAGTATTTAATAAATTTTGTGAAGAGACTGGTATTACAAGACACAAAACTGTGAGGAGTACCCCTCAACAAAATGGCTTAGCAGAGAGAATGAATAGGACTATACTTGAGAAAGTGAGATGCATGCTGTTGAGTTCAGGTTGTTCTAAAAAGTTTTGGGGTGAGGCAGTCAATACAGCTTGCTATCTCATAAATAGAAGTCCATCATCTGCTCTAAAATTTAAAACTCCTCAAGAGATTTGGACCAGTCAACCTCCCACATATGATCATTTGAGAGTGTTTGGATGTGCTGCTTATGCTCATGTGAGGCAGGATAAGTTGGAAGCTAGAGCACTTAAGTGCATTTTTCTAGGCTATCCAGAAGGAGTGAAAGGCTATAAACTTTGGTGCATAGAAAAAGGAAATCAAAAGTGCATAATTACCAGAGATGCGACTTTCAATGAAGATCAAATGCCTTTGCTAATGGAGGCTTCATCTTCAGACATTGCTGATACAAGGGGAGCTCAAATTGAGGTGGAGTTTGCTGATCCTGCCCCAATGTTAGAAAATGAAAGTTTAGAGGATGAATCACTACCTATTGAAGAGACAGTGGAAGAGTCAACAGAAGTTGATAATCTTCAAAATTATCAATTGGCTAGGGATAGAGTTAGAAGAGAGAAGAAAGTGCCTAACATGTTAGGATATGCAGATATCGTTGCATATGCTCTTGCAGTTGCAAACGAGGCAAACAAGAGTGAACCTACAAGCTACAAAGAAGCTACTGCAAGTACTGAGAATAGGCTGATGGCTATGGAAGAGGAGATGTTATCTCTCAAGAATAATAACACTTGGACACTGGTGAAAAAGCCAATGAATCAAAAACTTGTTGGCTGTAAGTGGATTTACAAATTAAAAACTGGAATACCTGGTGTTGAAAGGCCAAGATACAAGGCAAGGCTTGTTGCAAAAGGCTTTACTCAGAGAGAAGGTATAAATTTCAATGAGATTTTTTCAGCTGTTGTGAAACAACCCTCAATCAGAATAGCTCTATCTCTTGTAGCTCTGTTTGATCTTGAACTTGAACAAATGGATGTCACCACTGCCTTTCTTCATGGTGAATTGGAAGAGACTATATATATGAAGCAACCTGAGGGTTTTCATAATGGTGATGAAGACATGGTGTGCTTGTTACACAAGTCTCTATATGGATTAAAACAATCCCCAAGACAGTGGTACAAGAGGTTTGATATTTTCATGCTGTCAATAAACTTTGAGAAGAACAGTTATGACAGTTGTGTTTGTCAGAATGGATCAAAAGGTGAGGATCAAATTCTTCTTCTCTTATATGTTGATGATATGTTGATCATTGGGAAACATGTTAGAGAGATCAGAAACCTCAAGATCAAACTGAAATGGGAATTTGAAATGAAGGACATGGGAAATGAAAGTAGAATACTTGGCATTGATATTAAGAGGAATAGAAAGAAGAGTGAGTTATTTCTATCTCAGAAAGAATACTTAGAAAAAGTCCTCTCTAAGTATGGTATGATTGATTCAAAACCAGTTGGAACTCCTTTGGCTGCTCATTTTAAGTTGAGTCAAAATCAGAAGCCAAAATCTTCAGAGGAAGAGCAGTATATGCAGAATATTCCTTATGCAAATGTTGTTGGAAGTATTATGTACTGTATGGTGTCAACAAGACCAGATCTTGCTTATGCTTTGAGCATATTAAGAAGATTTATGGCAGAGCCTGGTAAGGCACATTGGATTGCTTTGAAGAGCTTGTTGAAGTACCTAAAAGGTACTTGTGGTTGGGGAATTATGTATAAGAGATGCAAGGAAGATAGTTTTGCAGTGCAAGGTTTTGTAGACTCTAATTATGCTGGTTGTGTAGATACAAGGAAGTCTCTATCTGGTTATATTTACACAGTTCATGGTGGAGCTGTGAGTTGGAAATCTTGTCTGCAAAAGGTTGTAGCTCTTTCAACTACAAAAGCAGAATATATGGCTGCTACTGAGGCTGTGAAAGAGGGGTTATGGTTAAAGGGATTCAAGGAGGAGTTGTCTGGGAAAGATGAGAAGATCATCTTACACTGTGATAGTCAAAGTGCTATATTTCTCATTAAAAATCCAATGTTTCATGAGAGATCAAAGCACATAGCTATCAGGTTCCATTTTATTAGAGAGGTTGTAGCTTCTGGTCAGATTAAAGTGGAGAAGATAGCTACTGAAGAGAATCCTGCAGATGCTTTGACTAAAGCATTGCCAATTACTAAGTTTCAACATTGTTTGAACTTAGTGCAAGTTCAAGACTTGGATGAGGAGAACTAAGACATGATTTTATCCTGGCTGCATGCTTTCAAGAGCATGGTGGAGCAGTACAAGGTGTTGTAGATTGAACCAAGGTGGAGATTTGTTAAACTATGGTTCTAATCTACGGTTTATGACACTTAATCCACTTGGGATTATGCATGTGAGTTGCACATGCATATGGTCACGTGAGCTGCACATGTAGATGATAGGTAGAGCTGATTCTTGGAGGAAAAGAAAGAGCTCTCATTGGCTGATATAAGTGGAAGGCACATGGGATCATGTGCCTCGGTTGGGATATATATAGCATCATATCTGCTGTGCTAAAGGCAACGTGAGCAACACTAGAGAGAGAGTGCATTACACTGGGAAACACGAAAGCGGAGAGAGAGTGAAACTCCTTTCGGGTTTGGGTAGGGTTTCTATCAGATCTGAGCTGGTTTTGTGCTCATGATCTGATCTTGTTGCTGTGTACGTGTAATTGTAGAAATCTCTGAATATAGTGGATTGGAGTGTACTGCTCCCGGGGATGTAGAACTCACACCGAGTTCGAACCTCGTAAAATTGCTCTTGTTCATTGTTCTTCTTTGATTACTGTGTGTGTGTGTGATCTGTGTGCATGAGTGTGTGTATTGATCTTATACGGCATAATCACTCATTTGATCACCTTAGATTCATAACAATATTATAATCGTCCTGTATTGCCTAATTTAACATGTTTTGAAATCAATTTCAAAGTAAAAAAAAAAAAAAAAAAAGAAATTGGAAACCTATTTGGTAATAAATTTAGATAATTTTAAACAAAGGGACATCGGAAAAGTGTATTATTCTCTACACCCCAGTTGAACTGGTGTTAGGGTGTGTGCCAATTTGTTTTTTTGTTTTTTTTAATTGTATATATTAGGTAATTATTCTAATTTCTAAATATTTTTTCAAGAAGAAAATCCCCACGCCAGTCGAGTTAATTTCTTCACTAGCACCTGATCAAAGCACATTATGAAAATCATTTCACTAAATCTTCGTTACTCAATCATCTTCTACTCGAATCTCAACAAAACACTACAAAATCTTGTTACTATCTCGCTTGCGAACGTACAATCAAGCTCGAAATGGGGCAATTGCTATTGTTTCGCACGTAGAAAATGGTTCAATGTGTGAAGATGTAACAAACATGAGAGAGAATGTGCGAGCTGAGGGAATATATATTGTGCAGTCTTTTCTTTGAAGTAAAGACATCAATCTCATACAAAGAATTTTACCCCTTTGCATCAATTGTTGGCTACCGGTACCAATAAAACAAACATTCGGCCTCTCTAAAACGGAAACTTTATAAATAAAGTCTTGCACAAGACTCGTAATTTATCCACACGGAAAACTAATCTATTTTTCGTCATTCAAGTAATTCGCAAAACCATTACTCTTTGCAACGCTACCAAGTTGATGAATCATCAGCAAATTTTCAAGGTGAATCCAATAATGAGAAAGAATTTCGTACTTGTAAGCTCGCTATATTGATGATATAATACACTATGTATGCATTTACTTACAAAAGTGATCAGCAACATTAGGAAGAAGAATATATACATGGTTAAGTCGGAAGAAGTTGTGAGCCCGCCTCGTGAGATTACAAGAATACAACGATTAGAAAGAAAATAACTCAAGGATCCCAGATCTTACAGGAATTCTAACACCTCCGATTACTGTTTTCCTTCTAGTCGTGAATGCTAACACCTCCGAAGACTTTTTTCTTTCTCATTTCTTTCACAAATATTGCGATATAATATATACAAATCTCACTAATTGATGCCTATTGTCAGCCTCCTCTCGTATATACAGATGATATTACCCGCCGTAAAGTGTTGTTGTATGTAATGTATACGTTTTGTATCGATCTCATGCAGTCTTCTTGGAATGGAACTCTTTCCTAACTCTTGGCTGCCGTAAGTAAACCATTAAAATAAAGTAAATACGGGAATACATTTCAGGTTATTAGCACAAGGAATATCAATTATGTTTTATGCGCAAAGCTAGAAATGATTACTTACAGTTGTTTGAGCTCCGGAAGTAGGTCCACTTCGACTATTTCTGTCAGAAGCTGCTGGCCTCGTAGCCGTGCATGATATTTTGCGGTTGAGCTTCTTCATATGGTTATAGATACTGTAATTCCAACCATTGCAGAAAAAAAATGTACAGTTAGCCAAATAGCAGAAAATAATTCCGATTATTTTTTAGATGCCATTCTTTTTTATATGGAAGGTTTGCCAAACAACATGATGATGTGATTCATCGAACTGTGAGTCAAAATTCAATAAGTACCTGAGGCGATGTCTATTGCAGGTAGTGAAGAATGCCACAAATCCATTAAGAATACTTCGGAGAGCGCGGAAAATCTGATAAAAATACCATAAGATGAGAAAAGGAAACCAGAGATGTAACTCCGATTAAAAGGTTGAGCTTTAAAAATAAACACCTGGGAGAAAAGGTCATTCCAGAGAGAACGCCACATAGAAACCTCATACGAGCTAACTGTCGACTCAACATCTTTTGTAAAATTAAAAATGCTGCTTGCCAATAGCAACAAATCCCCGATCAAGTCACACATAGATGTACACAAGTAAGCTACAAGGCTACAAAATCCAAGGACCAGCCGAATTGGAGCATAAAGAACTTCCCACAGAATCCAGAATATCGGGTATAAAACATATATCGCTGCAAAAATCAAACACAATATCAAAAGAAATTTTGATGTCACAAACGAAGTCTGAAAAATCGACAGCGTAAAGGAAAGGAAAACTTGTAACATATTTATCTAAAGCGAGTATGTTAACTAACTCACCGACATTCCAGACAACAGACAAGATATACCATAAAGGCATCAGTAAAATCTCTACAAGGTCTCCAACCGTCGAGAAACAAGACTCAACCACCATCCAAGTCACTGAAAAGAAACTCTCGGCTAGTTGAATACAAATACTCCAAACAGGAAGGAACAGTTCCAAAAGCTCGGCAAAAGGTCCGGCCATTGGCTCGATGAAAAATGAAAGACACGAACGAACAGTCCGAGTCACCATGAGAAACCACTTGATTGCCTTCTGAAAATTATGAAGAAATAACATGGTTCCCAAATACTTGATTCTTGAAATCATTTCCAACGTTTCTATCCAATCAAAGAGGGGTCCGAACAAACTAGACGCTGTTGCCTTGAGGAGAGGTACATTCTTGTACAAGTCGTAGAATCCAATAAGGACAGTTACAATTGATATAAGCACATAGAGAGCTCGGGCCAAGGGACACATCCACGGACGGTAAAAATGGAAAAATACCGGGTACGACTGAAGGAAAATAACCCATGATGGAAGCCCAGCTTCGAGAAGAGTAAGTAGCCGCAAATCAGACATAATTATGTCCTTTAGTTTAAAAGGGAGGTCTCGATCATTGAATCGGAACAAAATTAAAACATCTCTGTACAGATTAGGGTTAAGTGTCTCTTCACAATCGCTTGAATCAGGGCTGTTAGACAATATTTCAACAGTTTCAGAGTCTGCTTCTTCAGAAGAAATACCGAGCTCACGATAGATGGACCTCATGACTTTCCTTCTCTTGTAAGGACCATTAAGGAGAGGCGGTGTATTTAGTCTGTTCGTCCTGTTTCCCGTTATTACTGGATAAACGCTGAAACTATTGAAACTGCCACTCACAGAGCACGGAGATTCATCTTCGTCAGACATGTCATCACAAGCGACATCATCATCACCACCATCATCGTCGCCATCATCATTACTCCTAGGGAAACTTTCTTGAGCATCATAGAAGATCTCCCCTGCAACAATCTCAGATTTAGTAACCTAAAAAATTTCACAATGTTTACCTATAACCAAGTTTATTAGTGATACAGATTAGAGAGAGTAAATGTTGTCCAAGTTTATTAGTGATGAGAAGTTCATCACTAATAGAAAAAATAATGAAATACTCGTTGGTTGGATAATGCACAATCTACCAAATAACATAAACAGCGAGACGTATCATAAAATAAAACAAAATCCAGCACTAACATAATTTGATGTTTCTCAAAATTACACTTCATTACTCCTCAACTCACATCCAATCACGGTCTTGCTCATTGAACACTGTTTGTGCTCACAGAACAGTAAATAAATTCACTCAACATCGAACAATTCCACGAGACAAAGTAATAGCCAACAGTTCATATGTCAACGAAGAATTACATGCCATAAAACACACAGTAAAACTGCAACTAAATTTAAACTTTTACCCCATTATACGGACACAATTTCAGTATACATATTGAATAGCCAATAATTTAAGCTCACTTGCTGTGGTGGTGTACATAAATTTAAGTGAAGTTCCCTTAACATGTTTCTCTCACTTCAAAATTTGTTTCACACAAGAATGATAGCCAAGAATTAAGAAAGTTAAAACAAAGCTATGAGAGGGGTTTAACTTGTAAAATACCTAAAGTAGCATCTAAATGCTCTTTCAGAAGAATCTGTTCGTTAAGTGTGCCCGGGAACCATGAACATATTGACCTGGCTGCTTGTCCTATGCTGTCAAATTCCCACCTTCTCATGACTTTAGCCTCTAATGCAAGTGAAGTATCGGTCTTAACACGGCATTGTAAGAAACACGAATTTCAGAGTCCATGAAACATATGTCAAAGTAGAGTAGATAAATGAAATAACTCGATAATAGCTTACCTGAAGCTCATTCAAATAGTTAATACCCCGTATATCTTTCCATGCAACCTCAAACACAATGAATCCATACAAGGTTCTATGCAACTTACTGTTTGCAATCAAAGAATTCCTAAGCTTCTTTACGGGTAGCAAAGCCCTCTGTCTGGATAACATCAGAGCATCAATCAACGAGAACCACTGTTTGAAGTTTCTTAGTTTACTTGTGTTCGATGACGAAGAATCATTAAGCTCTGAAATTTCTCCTATCATCCTTTTGTCCTTCCTACCTCGAGTGTTTGCAAATGGGGACAACCTGGACTGCACAATTAGCAGAAAAGTATTTTCAAACCTGTGTTAGTTACTAAAAGTTAAAAGTTCGAAGATCCTGCTAATTAACTAGATTAGGATGGCGAGTTTAACCTTAGTGACCATCAACTGCCACAAATGCGTAGGCCGTGACACGAGATCTTTTAACCAGGGTCTGTTGTCCACCAAGATATAGAACTTTCCACTGTCAGATGCCATAAACAGGCTGAGATGTGAAAGATATGACTGCAAATCCCTGATAACAGATAAACATCACCATGATTAATCAAACTAAGCGTCCAACATCGAGTAATGATCTCTAACATCAAATTTAGACACAGGAAAAATCATATTTTAGACAAAGGATAAAAATCTGGCAAGGTATTCATGAATCCGCAATTGTTTTCGTAAAATCTGAGATTTTACAAAAAAACGCATCGTCGCCTGTTGAAAATATGTATACTTGAATTTTACAATTATTTTTATCACCAAATGGAAAAAATAAACACACAAAATTAGTGTATATCCGTTTTAGGTTAAAAGAGGTAAGATTAAATTCTTCATACAGCAAAATCGATGAACACAAAATCGGAGTTTGAAAGGAACTTTCAAAGGTGAACTTACAATAAAAAACATCTAACACATGCGAGCCTAACAAACAAGAACATGCATACTCAGATCATTAACAAAAAAACAAAAACAAAGCACATGCTTCTGATGCATTAAAAAATGAAAAGAGTCCATAAGATTCCAATAAAATATACCCAATTTGTAAGTTTGTTAAGGGAAAAACGGATCGGCCATTGTCGCAATTCGCCATTGACTGCAGAATGAGTAATTAAACCTCCCTTCTTTCTCAAATTTAAACCAGCCACAACTGTTTCATCAAATTGCAAACAAAATTAAATTAAATAATTACAGCATCAAATCGAACATCAACTGAACAAATTAAGCAAATAAAAAAACCTGAGGAAGACAATGCTAAATCACTTTGATCAAAGAAATTCCACACCAACTGTGGACGACAACAATCAAAACAGCAGAGACCACCACCGAACTTCATTAAACGGAAAAAATATATATATATATATATGTTTAATTCAAGAACAAAAAGTGAGAAATGAGAGAGGCGGCGAACGGCCGAGATTGATTTGATGCAGGGAATCAATGGACAAGAAGAACAGCAGCAGAAGACACGCGCATCAATAATCTATGGAGAATTTGTCAAATTTAAGACGACTGATTCAAGAAAAAAACAATAAAAGCTCGCATTAATGTGAACAGGATTTGCTTGGCAATTAATTGCGAATGGAATTCAGTTGGGGTTTGGAATAAAAGGTTTGCTTTGGGGGAGAGGTGTTGGGTATTGCGCCGGGACACGTTGACTGCGTGGCTTCGTGCGTTATATGTGTGTGAGAGAGAAACTGATCATAGAGAGAGAGAGGGGGGAAGGGGACTTCATTCAGTTGAACCGGTGCCTATAATTTATTGTGAACCGGGGAGGGTATAATGGTAATGTCACAATGATGCTTCCCCGCCAACACATATCTGTCGATGTCGTGATAGAGACAAATTAATGCATCGGGGCGCGTGTGGATAATCATGGAAATAAGTCAATAAGATATTCTCACGAGGGCCTTATTTATTTACTCGGAACTCGAATCTCAATTCGTATTTTCTGAAATTAATAATTTCAGTACCGATCCAACATATACTATAGTAAAAAATAGGAATCAAAATTTTTAAATTGAAATAAAAATTGTTCAATTGGAATCAGAATTTTTAAATTTTTGGGATTGTTGGAATCCAGAATTTCGGAATTTTTAGTTACCTACATTATAATATAACGCCGCGTAATAATTATGGGTGAATGAAATGGTAATTAGCTTTTCAAGAGAATTTTTAAAAAAATTCGGAAGTACAAAATTAGTTCCAATTACAATTCCAAAATTTTCGGAATCTAAAAATTCATTTCAATTCCAAAAGGATCGGGGAATTTCGGAAATCAAATAAGTTTCAAAATTTCAAAACTTAGCGGAATTATTTTGAAACTTACATAATTTTTCAAAAATAAGAATATCCACATCGATAAGTAAAACTAATGGGGTGGCTAGAACTAATACCAAAATTTTCTCACTTCAATACCACCAAGTTTAATACCATATTTTAGAGAAGTTTTTATATTTTTTTTCTTAGATTAATACCACAAATAAATTATTGTTTCAAAAAACAAAAAACAAAAAACAAAATGGAATTAATTTTGGAAAATCGGATCGGAAATCAGAAATTCCAATTTTTTTAAGAAAAAATTAGCAAGAACTCCCTCATCTAGGACATCTAGTTAAGGAAAACCCCCATCCCCAAAATAATTAGGGAAAATTCGCGGAGGCTGAAATTTTAATTGACTACGTACATGTTCAATAGTCGATTAAGCTAATCGACTATACTCTTATAGTCGATTAAGGTTAATTGGCTCCAATTTTTAATTTTTTTGGATTTCTTTTTATTGATTCCAATTGTATTGATCAATTACAATGGTTGTATATTTTTTTTTGTTTTTGTAAAATATAGTTGATTTTGCATTTTTTTGTAGTTGTGATTTGTTATCTTTAGTACTCAGTTCCTTAATCGATTATGCTTCATCATAGTTGATTAATATGCTTCATTGACTCCAATTTTTAGTTTTTCTTTTTGGATTTTTTGTTTATTGATTCCAATTGTATAAATAATTATAATGTTTGTATATTTTTTGTTTTTATAAAATATAGTTGAGTTTTCATTTTTGTAGTTGCGATTTGTTATTTTTAGTAGTCGATTCCTTAATCAACTACAATTCATCATAGTCGATTAATATGCTTCATAATCGATTAATATACATGATAGACAAAAAAAGTTAAAAAACGAAGGAATTTTTTCTTTCTTTTTTAAATAAACTTAAAAAGATAATAATAATAATAATAATAATAATAATAATAATAATAATAATAATAATAATAATAATAATAATAATAATAATAATAATAATAATAATAATAATAATAATAATAATAATAATAATAATAATAATAATAATAATAATAATAATAATTAAAAAAAAAACGGCTGATAGGCAGATAGTGCTGATGAGGTGGCATGGACATAATTGGAAAAATGGGTGGTTGAAATTAGAAGTGAGTTTTTCTCAATTAGTACAAAATAGTTTGGGCCCTTCCCTATTAAAAAAAAATATTGAGGAGGTTATATCAAAGTGCCCCCCCCCCCCCCCCTTTTTTTTTTTTAATATAATTCCAATTCCACTTCAAAAAAAAAAAAATGGAAAAATTCGAAAATCTGAATTTCAGAAGTCGGAATTAAAAAAAGGGTAAATTACACCCACACCCCTGAGGTATGCTTAAATAATTTTAAGGTCCCTATGGCATCGATAATTACAGTCACCCCCTGAAACGTAGTTAGAAACTCTAACGGGATAATGCATTGGATACATTATTCCGATAGGGTTCTAATGAACTATTACTTTTAGCTAGTGGTGGAGATAACATAGAGTTATGGGGAGTAATGTGGTGACATGGCTCCCCCAATATTTCTTAAATCACCCATAACTCTTTGTTGTTTCCACCACTTCCTGAAACCAATAGTCGGGATTATTACATTTTTCTTCCTCATACTTTACCCACTTTTTCGAAACTGTCCCTAAACATTCTGGAGTTACAATAGTAGTCCTTAATCATGCCATTTTTTAACAGAATTGGTCCGCCGTTTATTTTTGCAGTTAAGTTGGATGGAAAATGGCATGTGCCTCTCACATGCCTTCAATATATAACACTACATGAAAATGGACTTGTGACAAAACACATTGCGTCTTGTTAAAACAGATTTTTCATAATTAAAACTTGATTTAAATTCGAAATTATATAAATTACAAAAAAACAAAATCAATATATATTGTTTTAAAATATTTTGAGAAATATTCCTTAAACAATTGAAACTTTGTTTTAAAAAAATTAAATATTGCTTTCAAAATCAAGATTTTCGGAATTCGAACGAAAACATTGTTTCAAAATAAAATAAAAATTCGATGCGAATACGCGGGATAAGAAACCACCATTTCAATCTTCACCCTAATTTAATAATGTAAAACTCGATAAATTGTTTCAAAATATTTTTAGAAGGATTGTCTAAAACAATAATATAATGTTTTAAAACCGGAATTTCTTGAATCCAAATGAGAATTATTGTTTTAAAAGAAAACTCCATTCCAATTTTCACCCTAATTTTTATAATCTAAAACTCGATATTTTTTTTTCAAAATAAATTCAGAAATATTGTTTAAAAAATCATAATATTGTCTAAACAAATAATATTGTGTTTTAAAATCGGCATTTTTGGAAATTGAATGAAAATACTAAAGATCTCACGATCCTAAAGATCAATCTTAACCCTTCGACTAGGAACACGTTTAACAGTTATAATACTAAAGTAAATATCTCACGATCCTAAAGATCAATTACTAGTACTTGTAATAACTGTAAGGACTATATCTATGTTTGAGACAAAGGGACAAAGATATAGAATGCAAAGATGTTTTTATCATATATACGAAAAATGATTATTTATTACAAGAATAAATGGAAAGATCAGAGCCACAAGTTGGCTTGTTGGTTACCTACATAAATGGAATTACGAGTTCTATTAAAATTAGGTTTTAACTCATTGTCTATTTTTCCTTCAAAATGATTGTTTTTCCAGGTTCATTAAGGTTTTTCGAGTTTTAGTAGCAATTAAAAACTCTACCCCTATAAACACAGCCAGACGAACAATACTCATGAGCTAGCACATGAATCACATCTGATTTCGGTGACCTGACGTCTTTTTGACACTTAAAAATGAAATTTTGCTATTTTACGAAAGTTTTAGAAAATTCAAATCAATTCATTGAAAGATCATATGAGGATTCGGTCAGTTGCGTTGTTTCTGAAATTGGGAGATCTATTATAATTAGGTTTTAACTCGTTTTCTATTTTTTCTATAAAATGATCGTTTTTCTAGATGTATTAAGGTTTTTTGAGTTTGAATAGCACGTTAAAATCCCCTTCGCAAGCAAAACAACCTGACGAACAAAATCATGAGCTTTGCTCATGAATCACGTCACGTTTCGGTGAACATGCGTTGTTTCATCTTTAAAAATTAAATTATGCTATTTTAAGAAAGTTTTAGAAAATTCATATCAATTCATTGAAACATCATATGAGGATTCCGTCAGTTGCTTTGTTTCTGTAATTGGGAGACCTATTATAATTAAGTTTTACTCATTTTCTATTTTTTCAGCAAAATGATCGTTTTTTCAAATTCATTAAGGTATTTTGATTTTGAATAGCACGTTAAAATCCCCATCCCAAGCAAAACAGACCGACGAAACAGCTATGCTCATGAATCGCGTCAGATTTCGGTGATCCGACGTCGTTTGGTCACTTAGAAAATGAACTTTTGCTATTTTAGGTTAGTTTTAGAAAATTCACATCAATTCATTGAAACATTAGATGAGGATTCCGTTAGATGTGATGTTCCTAGAATTGCGAGTTCTATTAAAATAAAAAAAATTGAAAAACAAATTAAGAATTAAGAAAAATAAAAATTGAGAGGAGCCCGCCAATATTCTATCGATATTGTCGCATATGCACAATTGATATTAGCCATGAACCTATAAAAAACATACATTGGATTTTTTATATAAACAAATATTAAAAAAATTATTAGCTGAAACTATAAACTATACAACGTATATAGAACGATATAAATGATATATTTTACAAACAACATCTCATAGCTAGATTACGAAAAGAAAAATATTATAATGTGCAGCAAAAATGTTCGTGTGCAAGTTAAAAAAATGTGTGCAGTAAAAATGTTATGAAATTAGTGAAATGGTAGGGGTATTTATACTTATTTTGTAGGCTTTAAAAGGTAGATAACATATTGATAGGAAAAAAATATAATTATTGTATTAATAACTGAAATTAAGTGATTTGATTTAATTTGATTTTGATTAGATGAATATTATATAGGCTAACATAGAAATGTTTGATTTGATTATTTTAATATTAAAGATGTTAATAATATAAAAACTAAAGTGGGATAAACCATTTAATTGGACAATTACCTTAAATAATGTATTCAGAATTAATGTATTACCAAAACAACTAAATAATTAGAGAATTTAGAGTCAAATATTAAATGCATTTGGATTTTGGAAAATGAATGAAAAATGAATAGTTAATGGCACGTAAATAATGAGTAGGACGACACATAAGTGTGACACATGTCTAATTTTAAAGGCATGATGGCTTCAATTTATATATTATATAGATTCAAAATTATTTGTTTTTTCTTCCTTTTTTTATAGAACATGTTTCAATTTGTTTTGATTATTTTTTTTCTTCTTTCGAAACCCTTAAAGCAGTATTTTAAAAAACATTTTTGTGAAATATTTGTTTGCTTTATTTTCTCCCTTTTTATAGGACATTCGAAATTATTTGTTTTTTCTTCATTTTTCATAGAACACGTTTCAATTTTTTTTTAATTATTTTACTTTTCTTTTTTTGTTCTTCCCTTTTTTTCCCTTCCCCACTAAGCACGGTAACGTTTGTTCTTAAATATTTTCTTTTTCTTTTTCTTTTTTTTTCTTCTTCTTTTTTTTTTCTCTTCCGGCACTAAATTTTCTCTCCTTTTTTATAGGACACGTTTTTATTCTTCTTTTTTTCTCTTCTAGCACTAAATTTTCTCTCTTTTTTTATAGGACACGTTTTTTAATTATTTTGTTTTTCCTTTTCTCTTCTTTTTTTCCCTTCCCGGTACACGTTTTTATAGAACACGTTTTTTTAATTATTTTGTTTTTTTTTCTTTTTTTTTTCCTTCCCTATTAAATACGATCAACTTTGATGTATTAAATTTTATTGTTGAAATAGATATATAGATTATGATTGCAATTAGTGTAATTTTTATATTTTTGTTGTCCCATTATTTTGCTATTATGCATGTCATATATGTTTACTATTTTTAATTTTGCTTATCTTATATTTTGTAACCGCCCGCGCAACGCACGAGGCAAAGTAGTAGTGTATCATTAAACTATGTGTTAAAGCTAATCAGTACGACGCCGTGCCTATCACTGTACACAAAAGGGCTGCAGCTATTAAATTGGCGGCTTCAAATAAATAAAGTAAATGAATGCTTACCTAATAATACGACACCGTTTTTTCCATATATTTTTTTTCTATGAAATAATTTGCCTATATAATAGCCAAGACACACATCATATACTTAATTATTACCACTTGAAATATCTAATCATAGTTGCATATTATCAACAAAAGAAATGTACACATCAATAATACTACTTGTCATTTTTATCTACTTAACATATAACTTTTACATAAATTATTTCCATGCAAGAAAGGACAGAAAAAGCTCACCACCACCTCCTCCGACCGACTGGCCGATTTTCGGCATGCTACCGGGGCTTCTTCTAAACTGCGGGCGGATCCACAAGTTTATGACCGAGCTTGTCGAGAGTAGCGGCGGCACGTTTTATCTCAAAGGGCCTTGGTTTGCTAACATGAGCATGCTGATCACTAGTGATCCAGCTAACGTGCATTACATATTGGCCAAGAACTTTTCCAACTTCGAGAAAGGCCCGCAGTTCAAGAAGATATTCGAGGGTCTCGGGGACGGCATTTTCAATGCAGAATCAGAATCTTGGAAAAACCAAAGAAGAACCATAAAATCAATGATACACAACACGAGTTTCCCCGATTTTACCGCGAGAACTAGCTGGAGCAAAATGGAAAATGCCCTGATCCCAATTCTGGAGCTCGCTTCGGAAACGGGAATTGAGGTTGATTTACAAGAGCTATTCCAGCGCTTCGCGTTCGATTGTTCTTGCATCACGGTTTTAGGACACGACCCCGTTTCCCTGTGCAAGGAGTTACCTCATCTACCACATGAGAAAGCCTTTGCAGATGCCGAGGAAGCGGTCTTGTACAGGCACGTACTCCCCGAGATTTTGTGGAAGCTGCAGAGTTGGCTTCGCATCGGCAAAGAGAACAAGCTGACCAAAGCTAAGGACGTCATCCATCGGTTCTTGTCTGAATGTATCTCGGTGAAGCATCAACATTTCAACTTAACGGGCCCAAATGACGGTCTCGACATGTTAACGAGTTGCATGAGATCATCACTTGCAGACGAGGTAATTTGGAAAGATACTCTATTGAGTTTAATATTTGCAGGTAAAGATACAATAAGTGCAGCTCTTGCATGGTTCTTCTGGCTCGTGGCGACAAACCCTGCGGAACAAGAAAAGATCAGACAAGAGATAGGCACGAATTGGAAATTTACTACGATCGAGGAGTCGAACAAACTGGTTTATCTTCACGGCGCACTTTGTGAAACTTTACGCCTTTTCCCACCGGTGCCGTTTGAACACAAAGCTCCGGTGGAGCACGACATTCTCCCGAGCGGACATAGAATCGGCCCAAATACAAAGACAGTTTTATCATTCTACTCGATGGGGAGGATGGAATCCATTTGGGGCAAAGATTGCCTCGACTTTAAGCCGGGGAGATGGATTGATGCCGAAACGGGACGTGTCATAACTGAACCGTCTTTCAAATTTACGGCTTTTAATGCAGGACCGAGGAGCTGTTTGGGAAAGGATGTGTCTTTCATACAGTTGAAAATTGTTGCAGCTGCTATCGTGAGCCGGTTCAATATTCAGGTGGCTCGAGGTTTTTCGGTAACGCCGAGCATTTCAGTCGTGCTTCACATGAAACATGGTCTCAAGGTTAAGGTTTCGGATTATGCTTAACTAGTTCTTCACTCGTGCGACGCACGAGTTTAAAAAATAAAAATATATATTAGATTAAATAATCGAATAAAGACTTTCAAAAGTTGATATATAATACGATATAATTCAACAAATCAAAACAATATACGTTTTGATTTGATGTAAGCACCCAATTAATAATAGAAAACGAAAAGTATGATATAGAGAATAAGATACATCATATCTGAACCGATGGTACAATTATCTCGTCCGATCCGATGCACTCAAATTCTTAATATTGAACTTAGTTATCAAAAGTGGTATTTTATAGCACATGCATTGACAATAGCCTATAATACATTTAATACCTTGCGAGAAAAAAACGTGCACATTTTTCATTGCTCATATCAAACTAGTGCTACACATTACTAAAACATATATAAGTCACATAAAAATGAGGGTCTAACACTTAAAATGAGTAGTATACAAAATTTTCATCTTCCTTCTTATCCAACACCACGAATCATGGGCTCGGAAGCACAAACCGGAGAATCATTTGGAGGGGTACATTAGAATAAACATAAGATATGCACTAAAGTTAGGCAACCAAGAGTGGTAATTTAGGCAATTACCAGCAAGCCAATATTGATATATGAATCATTTAATTACGTAATAATGATATCAATGTGTAGCAACAAATTTTTATCTGTGAATTTGATAAATAAATAAAATTTGCACAAAGATAATTTGATTGCATTAAAAATAAATATAGCGGGTTATAAACTCTAATTTAATCCTCTGATTCTTCTCTCAAGAACAATATATGTTGACTTTGAATTTCGGAGTCGGGTCGTTGACTTGATCTTCTCCTTATTTGATTTTGAACTTGAATAACGTTTTCCAAGGGTCTTGCGACTTGAATCTCGGATCGAACGCTGAACTTTGACGAACTTTGAATTGAAGATCTTGGAGTTCTTGATCGATCTTGATTTGTTGAAGAATGCCTTGAATTTAATGAAGAACGACTTGAATTAGATGACTTGAATATTGCAGGGAGAATTTTCTCCTACGGTTTTTCTTCTTCTTCAGTTGTGTTTTGAATTGTGTAGGAAGGGTCCCTATTTATAGTTGTAGAATAAGAGTCCTACCTAAAGTCTTCTTGATGATGTAACGCGATTTGATTGACCTTTATTAAATTGATATTTATCACTTATAACTTGAAAGAGAAGAAACAATCCTATTGGCCAATAGTTAATTGATATTTATCTTCATGACTTGTCTGGACAAGATATAATTTAATTTAGACACAATTTAATTATCTTATTTAATTAACCAATTAATTAATTTTATGCGTCTCACAATGGTTTGGACTTGTTAACAAGCTACAACAATAGAGCACTTGCAGAAAAGGGTGCTCTAAATGAAACTAATAATATTAATATTTCTGACGATGAAAAGGTCTCGAAAGATACATTGTTGAATTTAATGTTTGCAGGTAAAGGTACACATTGTTGAATTTAATGTTTGCAGATAAAGGTACTGTTGGCGCCAAATTTTCGATTATTGAAGATCAAGCAAATCTGCCAAGTTTTTGGAATTAAAAGATTAACGGAGATTTATTTTCATGTTTATTTTGGGAATTATTTAGAGTGCTATGTTTGTAATATTCGTATTAGGACTTTGATTTACTTTCATGTATCTTATTATAGTTACGTATCTTTGTACTTATCTAGAATAGAGTTAGAAATCGGCTAGGATTCTATAACTTACCTAGTTATACGATTTCTTGGAAATCAAGCAAGGGTTTGGAGGCTAAATTCGTGCATATATAAAGTCTTACAAGTCATTGAACATCTCAACACTTTTATTGGAGAAAAACCTCTCATCGTATTGAAGTCGTGCTAGGGCAGAGTGTTAAGCAGTAATGTGCCATCGTTGTTGTGTGCCAACATATATAGAGTTAGGAGTGAGAACGGGTCGGGTCGGTTCGGTTCGGTTTTAGCCACAAACCGAAACCGGAACCGAAATGTTCGGTTCCTAAAGAACCAAGAACCTAACCGATCGGTATCTTGCGGTTCGGTTCCGATCAATTTCGGTTCGGTTTTGGTTCCTTCTCGGTTCATAAAATTTTCGGTTCGGTTTCAATAATGGTTCGATTTTAGGTTCAGTTTTGGGTTCATTTTGGCCCAAAAATTAGCCAAAAAATGTCAATAAATCAGCCCAAATGTAGGCCCAAAATGACTCAAAAATCAAGTGAAATTCATTCAAGTAATATATATATATATATATATATATATATATATATATATATATATATATATATATATATATATATATATATATATATATATATATATATATATATATATATATATATATATACATCGTATTGGTGTCGGTTCGGTTCCTCGGTTCGGTTTCCTACTTGGAAAATCGAATAGGAACCGAAATTTTCGGTTCACATAAAATTGAAAACCGAGTACGCGGTTTATGCTTCAGTTTGGTGCAATTCGGTTCGATTTTATCGGTTTTCGGTTCGATTCCTCTCCTCGGTTTTTTTTTTCTCACCCCTATACAGAGTTGCTGTATAGATCTCGGGAGAGGTCTGTAGACGCATAAAATTAATTAATTGGTTAATTAAATTAGCCAATTAAATTGTGTCTAAATTAAATTATAATTTATCCTACAAAATAAGTTATGGAGATAATTATCAATTAATTATTGGCCAATAGGATTATTTCTTCTCTTCCAAGTTATAAGAGATAAATATCAATTTAAAGAGAGCCAATCAAATCGCGCCACGTCACCAAGTAGACTTTAAGTAGGACTCTTATTCTACCACTATAAATAGGGACCCTCTCTACACAATTCAAGACACAACTCAAGAAGAATAAAAATCGTAGGAGAAAATTCTCTCTACAACATTCAAGTCATCTTCATCAAATTCAAGGCGTTCTTCATCAAATCGAGGGCGTCCTTCAACAAATCAAGATCGAAGGAAGATTGAAGGGCCAAATCCATCAAGTCATCTTCATCAAATTCAAGGCGTTCTTCATCAAATCGAATCGAGGGCGATCGAGATCGAAGGAAGATTGAAGGGCCAAATGGGCCAAATCCATCTAGATCTTCATCAAATTGAGGGCATTCTTCAACAAATCAAGATTGAAGGGCCAAATCCATCAAGAACTCCAAGATCTTCAAGTCAAAACCCGTCAAAGTTCTGCGTTCGATCCGAGATTCAAGTCGCAAGACCCTCGGAACACGTTATTTAAGTTCAAATCAAATCCGGAGAAGATCAAGTCAACGACCCGACTCCGAAATTCAAAGTCAACATATATTATTCTTGAGAGAAGAATCATAGGATTAAATTAGAGTTTGTAACCTGCAATATTTATTTTTAATTCAATAAAATTATTTTTGTGCAAGTTTTTCTTGTTTGTCTAAATCGCAGATAAGATTTTGTTGCTACAAGGTCATCCGCGTTTCTAAAGTTTGTGCCAACATACACAAAGTTGTTGTATAGATCTCTGTAGAGGTCATCCGCGTTTCTGAAGGGAGTTCAGGCTTGAAGAAGGTATAACGTACGCGGAGTGGAGCTGCTGTCGAGAGAGACACGTAGTTCGAGTTGTGTACAAGAACGACGTAAAAATTAAAGAGGGGTTTTTTTTATTATTTTTAATAAGTCCGATTAATGTACACTGTAAATATCAACTAGTGAAATTGTGTTTGCAGACCCACGTGGATATGGGGCACATTTGTGTCTGAACCACATTAATTTCTTGTGTTCATTTATTTGCTTTAAGTAGTTTATAACAGTGTTAACACAAGAATTATAGTTGTAACTGAATATTGTTCCCACAACTTAATTATTATAACTTAGGTCAAGTAATTTCTATAAGCATATAAATCAACAGGTACGATAAGCGCAACTCTTACTTGGTTATTTTGGCTCTTGGCGATAAACCCTGAAGAAGAAGAAAATATTAGACAAGAGATGTTAACAAATTTACAGGATAATAAATCATCGTCAAAATGGAAATTTGACGACCTAAAGAAACTAAACCACCTTCATGGCGCTATGTGCGAAACACTACGACTGTACCAAAAAATAGCATTTCAATTCAAATCTACAGTCGAGGACGATACTCTCCCAAGTGGACATGCGATAAATGTGAATACAAATACAGTGTCATCACTCTACTCAATGTGGAGGATGGAATCTATTTGAGGCAAAGATTGCCTCAATTTTAAGTCGGGGAGATGGATTGATGCTCAAACGGGACGCATCAAAACTGAACCCTCTTAAAAGTTTATTATTTTTTAATTAAGGGCCTAGGAGCTGAAGGAGATAACTTTCATACATATGAAAATTGTTGCATCTGCTATAATGAGCCGGTTCGATTTCCGGGTTGCTCGAGGTCATCCGATATCGACGAGTGCTTCAGCCGTGCTTCACATTAAACATGGACTCCAGGTTAATGTTTCGGATTAAGTATCAATTCATTGAAACTCAGATAGGGGTTCCGTCAGTTGTGTTATTTCTAGATTGCCAGTTCTATTAAAATTAGGTTTTAACTTATTTTCTATTTTCCCTTCAAATTGATTGTTTTTCCATGTTTATTAAGGTTTTTTGAGTTTAAAAAGCAGTTAAAAAACTCTACCTATAAAACAGCCAGACGAACAATAGTCATGAGCTTGCTCAAGAATCACGTCAGGTTTCGACGACTTGACGTCTTTTTTACTTTTAAAAATAAAATTTTGCTATTTTAGGAAAGTTTTAGAAAATTTATATCAATTCATTGAAACATCAGATGAGGATCCCGTCAGTTGTGTTGTTTCTGGAATTGCGAGTTCTATTAAAATTAGGTTTTAAATCATTTTTTATTTTTCCTTCAAAATGATCGTTTTTCTAGGTTTATTAATGTTTTTTGAGTTTTAATAGCAATTAAAAAACTCTACTCCTATAATAACAGAGAGACGAACAATACTCATTAGCTAGCTCATGAATCACATCAAATTTTGTTGATCTGACGTCTTTTTGACACTTCAAAATTAAATTTTGCTATGTTAGGAAAGTTTTAGAAAATTCGTATCAATTCATTGAAAAATCAAATCAGGACTCTCTCAGTTGCGTTGTTTCTGTAATTGGGAGATTTAACTCATTTTCTATTTTTTCAGTAAAAATGATCGTTTTTTCAAGTTTATTAAGGTAGTTTGAGTTTGAATAGCACGTTAAAATCCCCATCCCAAGCAAAACAGACCGACGAAAAAAAACTCATGAGCTAAGCTCATGAATTACGTCAGGTTTCGGTGATCCGACGTCGTTTGGTCACTTAAAAAATGAAATTTTGCTATTTTAGGGAAGTTCTAGAAAATTCATATCAATTCATTGAAATATCAGATTGAGGGTTCCGTTAGTTGCGATGTTCCCGGAATTGAGAGTTCTATTAAAATTATGTTTTAACTCGGTTTTTTTTTTGTCCTTCAGAATGATCATTTTCCAGGGTTATTAAGGTTTTTTGAGTTTTAATACCAATTAAAAAACTCTACCCCTATAATATGAGCCATACGAACAATACTCGTGAGCTTGCTCATGAATCACATCAGATTTTGGTGATCTGACGTCTTTAGAAACCATTACAATTTTATCAAACAAATAACATGAATCGAGAAAACTAAATTAAATATATCATAAACAATAGTAAAAAAAATTGAAAAACAAATTACGAATTATGAAAAAGAAAAATTGAGAGGAGGCCGCCAATATTCTACTGATGTTATCGCATATGCACAATTGATGTTAGCCATGAACCTATAAAAAAACATACATTATATTTTTTTATATAAACAAATATTACAAAAAATTATAAACCGAAACTATAAATTATACAACATACATAGAACGATATAAAATGATATGTTTTACAAACAATATCTCATAGCTAGATTACGAAAAGAAAAATATTATAATGTGCAGCAAGAATGTTCGTGTGCAAGTTAGAAAAATGTGTGCAGTAAAAATGTTATGGATTTGGTGAAATGGTAGGGGTATTTATACTTATTTTTGTAGGCTTTAAAAGGTACACGTTGATAGCAAAAAAAATATAATTATTGTATTAATGACTGAAATTAAGTGATTTGATTTAATTTGATTTTGATTAAATGAGTATTATGTAGACTAACATAGAAATGTTTGATTTGATTTAAATTTTTTTAATATTAAATATGTTAATAATAGAAAAACTAAGTGGCATAAACCATTTAATTGGACTATTTCCTTAAATATTGTATTCAGAAGTAATGTATTACCAAAATAACCAAATAATTAGAGAATTTAGAGTTAAATATTAAATGCATTTCGATTTTGGAAAATGAATGAAAAAGAAACCGTTAATGCCACGTAAATGATGAGGAGGATGACACATAAGCGTGACACATGCCGAATTTTAAAGGCATGATGGTTTCAATTTATATATAATATAAATGGGTTTTTATGCAAAAGTCCCCAACCAAACATGTTTATTATTCTAGGTTTAGGGGACATACTCTTTCACCAATAAGCTCATCCCTTTAATATTTATTATAACTAAAGGAAACATTCATGTATATCCCAATATTACCCTCAACCATTTATACTCAATTCTTAATTGTAACCTCAATTTATCAATTTTGTCCACAAAAATCCAATTTTGACCACAAAAATTCAATTTTGACTTTTTTTGGAGCATAATTTAATATGCTCCAATTTCATCCTTAACTTGATTTAATCTCAATTTGACCCCAAATTTCACAAATTACTCAATTTTGACCCAAAACTTTTTTTTTCAAAAAAAAAAAAAAAATTCAAAATTTTTTTTTTGCCGCCGGATTCCGGCGTTGACTTTTCAACTTTTTTTTTCTTTCTTCCGGATTTTTTCGCCGGTTTCCGGCGTTGACTTTTTTTTTTTTTTTTTTTTTTTCTTTTCTTCCGGATTTTTTCGCCGGTTTCCGGCGTTGACTTTTTTTTAGTGTCTTTTTAAGTTTTTTTTTTTTGGTTTGTTTTGTTTTTTCACGTCCGCCGCTAAAAGTTGACCGTAATTGTGCTGTCACTGCCAGTAAATTAACGTAATTATACTGTCAATGATAGTTAATTGACGTAATTGTACTGCCGTTGACATTACATTTATGTAATTGTGCTGCCATTGACGGTAAATTAATGTAATATTATTATTTTTTTTATTGTTTTTTTTTTTGTTTGATTTGTTGACAAGTCAACGTAATTATATTACTGTCGTTGACAGTAAAATAACTGTAAACACAATAATATTACTGTCAACAACATCAATATTATTATTTTTTTGGGGGTTTTGTTTTGTTTGAGTTATTCACGGAGTAACGTAATAATATTACTGTCTATTATTGTAATATTAATGTAAACACAATAATATTACTGTGGTTGACGGTAATATTACTGTTGCTATAGTAATATTACTGTCACTCACAGTAATATTAATTCTTTTGGTTTTTTTTATTATGTTTACATTTGTTGAACGGTCTACATAGTAATATTACTTTATTACACAATAATAATGAGTTTTGTTGTGTTAATATTAATGTGCTAGAGATTAATATAGCAATATTACTGTGTTAAACTATAGTTTAGTTAATTTTACTGTGTTTAACAGTAATATAGTTAATATTACTGTCAATCACAGTAATATTGCTGTTTAAACGGAAAAAAAAAGTTATAGAAAAAAAAAAAGAAGAAAAAAAAGAAAAGAAAAAAAAAGTTGAAAAGTCAACGCCGGAATCCGGCGGGAATAAAAAAGTTTTTGAAAAAAATAATTTTGAAAAAAAAAAGTTTTGGGTCAAAATTAAATAATTTGTGAAATTTGGGGTCAAATTAAAGTTAAATTAAGTTAATGATGAAATTGGAGCATATTAAAGTATGAGAGGTTATTTTAGTCCTTTACAAAAATCTGGAGCATGTGTGGACTTATTGGTAAAGGAGATTTTTGTCTGGATTTCTTTATGAATAAGTACCCATTGATGGGCTTATTTGTAATATGCCCTTATATAAATATAATGAAATTTAAAATAATATTTTTGTAAATGTAATAAATATTTTATGTTTTATAATTTAAATATTAGTAATTTATTTGGAGTAAATTTATTTTTCTAGTATTTAAATTAATAATTGTCCGTTTGCGCCACGAAATAATTGCGACATTGCAATTGAACTGGAAATCTGGAATGATAATGTCTACGACAAACTCCGCGTCGGTTTCGGTTCAACATGGGTGTACATAGCAGTGAGTTTAGTAGGGCAACTGGACCTAGCCCCTTGTAAAAAGCGGTAATCGGGTCGGAGGCGGTCAGGGACCAACTCACGATTAATCGGTGCGGCGGTGATTAATCGGTGATAAATCGGAAATGAATCGGTTTTTAAAATTTAATATAATATATTTGTAGATAAACAGATATTTACACATAGTTATATCTCTATTATGTATATATCCTAATAACATAATACAAATTTAATAATAATAAGATCATAATACATAAATATCCTTATATGATATAAATAAAAAGGCATATTTTTTTAAATTACATTCATTCCTGGCATACATCATTAGTTCTTTAACAATAATAGTTACCATACACAAAATAAAAGCATAAACTCATTTTTTTTATTCAAATTCCAACTTTTATTTTGAATTATAAAAAAATAAAAAATAAAAAACGATCTTTGACCGATTTTTGTCGATTTTTGCCACCGAAGTTTGACCCGGCTTAAAGGTTTGACCGCCTCAGACCGCCTCAAACCACCTAAACCGCCTCACATGCAAAAAACTGATTTTTCAAACATTTACACTAAAATCGTAAAGGTTTTGGACCGCCTCCGCCTTGGAGACCGATTAATCAGCCACCTCGACCGATTTTTAGAACACAGGCTACAACTACCAAAATTTCAATATTATGAAATTCATTTCCATTCCCGTACCAAAAATATTGATATACCAAAAATTTGGTACGGTGTGTATAGTAATTATAAATACCAATTAATGCTATTTACTATTTTAGTCAAAATTGAATATCATTGAGTATCATTACCCTAAAAAATATTTCCATGTAGTACATTATAGTAGGGTAAACCAATAAATTAGCCCAATAATTAGCCAAGATACATTATTTTGACACAATTGAAATTTATTTAATATTTAATTAGCCCAATAATTTTGGGGTGTTTTTATTTCTACCTCCAAAGTATCTTAATACACTATCAAAGATATATAAAATATCATAAATATCCTTCAAATTTCTAATCCACCACCCTTCATTATATTTGTTTAATCCCCATGTGTTCTAAGTTATTTATTTATTTTTTTGTTTCTTTTGCAATGAAATATTTATTACAATATATTTAAACTTCCATATCAGATAACCTACACTATAGATTATGTAACTTTTTTTTGGAGAAACGAAATTATATTAAGTCAAATTGGTCAATTTTGGAGGGAGTTCAGGACCTTCTATACGAACACTCTTAATTTATTTTTCTAACAACATGAATTCCTGCTCCTTTTGACTTTCGAAAATATTTTTCTTTGACGAAAGTATTGTACTTAAGGTGAAGAGGGTGAGACTTTGCAGTAAAGATTGTAGTGTTTCTTATAAATATTTTAATTAATTTAGTGGTTGATGGTTTATAAATTTGTACAAAATATAAATAAAAGAAGAAAAAATAAGTAAAATAGAAAATATATTTAATTTAGCGGTGAAATAAAATATTTTGAACGTGGGAATATCACTTCTCTAATCTTCTAATCCGGACTAAAAAAAATTCCAAATGATAACCCTAATACTGTGTTTGAATAGTCTCTATCTAATTAATACATATGTTTGGCTATAATTTTATTTTGGTTAGCTAACCACAGCTGTTGTTGATGCACCAAATTCTGTTGTTGCTCACCTGCTGAAAATGGAGCCTCGCCGAAAGGATCATATGTTGATGATGATGACGTCATCTGATTCATCGGTATTGCTTGAAACGTAGGCATCGACGACACAGCAGAAGAAGTCGAAGATACTTCAATCGAATCCTGTAGAAATGGGTTGTAATTTTGATTGTTTTGCTGCTGCGGCGCTGCATCAAACAGCACAAGATCCCAGCCGGCGGCAGCGGCGGTTGTGTGATTCTTCTCCTCCACCACCGCGGTCACCTGCTGTGGACATACATTGGGTGGTGGTGATGATGTTAGGGTTTCAGCAAGTACAGCCTCCCAATTAATTGAAGCTGATGAAGACGATGAACCCACGACAATCATCCCTTCGTCGTGTTGCTCTCTTTCGTCGTCGCCTTGTTCAGGTTCGGACCAATCCCACAACGACATAAGATCCGCCATGGAATTCGACACGGGCAACGACCTCGTCGAGCCCGTTTCGCTTCTCGCGAAGACGTCGTCTTGCTGCGTTGCAGGATACGTCTCGAGATCGATGGAGATAGCAGGGCATGTCCCTGTTTCAGTTTCGGTGGCATTGATCAGGTCTTCCAAAGAGGTGCACCTTGATCCCATTTCAGGTGTTTTTTCTGCCTGCAAACTGTTTGTCTTTTTGTCCGACAGAAGAACATCGTCAGACTGCTCTCCACCACTACTATCCTGCCTCTGCCTATGCCGCCCTAACCTGGCCGACGGCGTTGCCGGAGGAATCGGAAACCTTTTTTTTGTCGGCGGCTTCGCATTCGATGGAAACGAAGATTGATCCTTTAAGAATTCTTGCAATGCCTCGATCAACTCCTCCGATATCGTCTGAACACTCGGATACTCGGAACTCCTACCAACACCTATACTTTTACACAAAGAATAGAAATCACTCAGCTCTTTGAACTGTTTCGCCGCCTTAGCGCATGCTTGGAAAGCGCTTATACAGTTCTGAAACTGCAAATGGAAGAAACTATCGAGAACAAGTGTCAGCCCGTCGGAGATATCTTTGTACAGCTCAAAACTCTCCTCAACAATCGCATAAAGAGAGGTGTGCACTAAACGGCTCACCTTGGCCGCACCGGTGGGCCGTGTGGCAATGGCTCGATCGAGCAACCTCTGCCAATAAGAAATCTTGTCAAGCAACATTGCAGGTTTCATCTCTCGAACGGGCTCGTTGGGCCTTCTGTCACTAGTCCAGCTCTTCGTCCGATGAATATTGGCCCAACTCTCCTTCGCCTCGTAATGTTTGTATCTCCTCTGCAGCTTCCCCGTAAGAAAGCACTCCAAACGCTCGTCTAGGTAAAGAGCGAATGTCCGGACAAAAGATGTGAAATCCCAAGGGCTCGAATTCGAATCGTCTCTAAAGCTCGAGAGGTTGAGAATCTTGGCACCCCTTTTCATCGCGTGCAGAACTTCTCGAGGGAAATAAGGATCTCCATCCTGGAATATTCTTAGGACGAGCATCAAAGATTTTAGGGCGACGATCCAATTCCGGGTGCGGCCGATCCGTTTGCCGATTGCACGTGCGCACGAAGCTGCGTGGAATTTGTTGGAGGATACGAGTTTAAGGACCTCGTTTACGTATTTTTGGTCAATGGGGACATCGTCGTGTGTGGTGGCTTTTAGGACAGCGACTTCGAGATTCGAGGAGGTGTTGGTGGACGAGACGACCTTTGCAAGGCTGATGCTGGTTTGATCCTTCACTGCCCCAATTGCCCTTTGAAGTTTGCTTGGCATTGTTGATCATGTGAACAAGGCTTTTAATTCATTAACAACTCATCTTCTTCTTCAAATGATGTAATAATAATGGATCATGCAAAAGAGTATAGATTATTTGATCAAGAAAATATTTAAAAATGATTAAAAAATTAAAAAAAATTAAAATTATTTAATCAGAGAGAATTTATTTTTTGGAGAAGGAAGGATGCAGAAGTTTTGGGTTAAATTTGTGAGCAATTGTAGTTCCTAAAGTCTCTCCCTACCTTGGGACTGCACATGAATATCGGCAACAATTTCTTTGACAATTATTGAACTTGGCCGGTTTCAATTCTCTATTCTAATCTTATGTTGTAATTATAAAACTCAGTATTACAATACTTTTAGAGTCGTGCTATTTCCACCACCAAATTATCTCAGTTCACCACCAAAGATTATAAAATGTCATAAATACCCCTAAAATTTATAATCCACCATCCTTCCTTATATTAACTTAATTCTCATGTGTTCTAACTTATTTTTATTTTATTAATTTTTTAATTTTTTTAATTTAAAAAAAAAATTATTATGTTTTCGATTTTTTACAATGAAATATTTATTACAAGATATTTAAACTTTCATATCAGATGACAAACAGATTATGTAATTTCTTTTTTAGGAAATAAAATTATATTAAGCCAAATTGGCTAATTCTTGAAGAAGTTCAGGATTCTATGCAATCAATCTTAATTTATTTCTAAAAAAAGTGAATTCCTGCTATTTTTGACCTTCGAAAATGTTTTTCTCTCGTAAAAGTATTATTCACTTACGGTGGACAGGGTGAGATTTCCCGTGAAAAGGGTGGGATTTGTTTTATAAATATTTTAATTAGTTTAGTGGTAGATGGTTTATAAATATTGAAAAATATAGGTGAAAGAAGAAGAAAGGGGTAAAATTGGAAAAATATTTAATTTGGTGGTGAAATAAGATATTTTGAGGGTGGAAATAGCACGTCTCTACTTTTATATTTTCGTACAAATTACGAATTGTCGAGTAACACTTCATATTTTGTAGGTGACTATTTTGCAACTGAAAAATACAATCCTATATATCTATATAATATATAAATGGGTAAATAGCACTTAACCCCCTTGTGGTTTGGACATTTTGCACATGACCCCCTTATGGTATGAATTTAGGCACATAACCCCCTTGTGGTTTTGAGATTTTGCACATGACCCCCTTATGGTATGAAATTAGGCACATAACCCCCTTGTGGTTTTGAAATTTTGCACATAACCCCCTTATGGTATGAAATTAGCACATAACCCCCTTGAATAGAAAACTGGAAAAGACTAAATTACCCCTATCAAGTCAAAAATTCTTGTTTTAATTTAAAAATAAGGGTAAATTACAAACACCCCCCTGAGGTATGGTCAAATTACAAAAACACCCCTCTTGTTTGGATAATTACAACCACCCCCTCAGCTCCTCAAATTTAGTGGAATCTTCGAGATTATATGAAATATTATCACTTTTGTACCCGTTTTATACCATTCAAACTCTACATTATGAAGCAAGATGATCATAATATGTGATTTTTAGCTTGTGTATATCAGTTTGTGGTGATCGGAAACTGTATTTTTACACAAAATGAGTATAAACTAGAGCACATTCCACGGAATCTAGATGATTATGTTGAATTTGGCACAATAAGGGTGGGGGTGTAAGAAAAAATCATAGTTGAGGGGGGTAGATGTAATTATCCAAACAAGAGGGGGGTTTTTGTAATTTGACCATACCTCAGGGGGTGTTTGTAATTTACCCTAAAAATAATTATTCTATAAAATGAAAAGCTTAATGTATTTTTTTGTAAAATGAGAAACATAATATATTATTGTGTGTTTTTTAATTAACATCACAAAAGGTATAAAATATTAGTTATTGTAGGATTGACAAGTTATTCGATTTTAAAAATCAATTTGAAAATATTTAACATTATCATTAATTATGATTATTATATTACTATTTTCTATATAATATATTATATTATAGTTGTTATCGAACTTTAATTTTTTAAGAAACAAAGTCTTTATTTTTTTTATTCTTTTGGAACAATCTAAAAAAACATTTCTCTAAAGTTGAAATGAAAATTAAATTAAAAAAAATATATATGTGCGGTAAAATAGAAAAAACCACAATAATATATTATATTTCTAATTTTACAAAAAAATACATTAAGCTTTTCATTTTATAGAATAATATTTTTAAATTAAAACAAGAACTTTTGTCTTGATAGGGGTAATTCAGTCTTTTCCAGTTTTCTGTTCAAGGGGGTTATGTGCTAATTTCATACCATAAGGGGGTCATGTGCAAAATCTCAAAACCACAAGTGGGTTATGTGCCTAATTTCCTACCATAAGGGGGTCATGTGCAAAATCTCAAAACCACAAGGGGGTTATGTGCCTAAATTTATACTATAAGGGAGTCATGTGCAAAATGTCCAAACCACAAGGGGGTTAAGTGCTATTTACCCTATATAAAAGATGAATTTCACCATCTATTGCTAGAAAATTGACAATTTCAATAGTTGATATGTCCTTAATTGAATCCAACGTGGAAACTTGATCGGTGGAAATAATTCATCAAAAAATGTCATTATTTGTCGTAATTTATTATTTAATTATTTCCATATCATTTTTTTAGGGATTATTTTGTAGACCCCCCTCATTTCCAAATTATATAGAACTAACTACCAAGTGGATTACACTATAGGGGAAACCCCCCTCATTTCGAAAATATTTTGACATACCCCCTTGGGACACCCTGAAGTCCATATAATACCCTTTAAAATCAGTTTTAAACCCTAGCCTCTACAATCGTTTCTCACTTCTTCTCTCAGATTCAAAATCCCGCCTCCACAAACCTACCACCGGCGAAATTGCTTCCCGGAGCCATAACTCTCTCTCCGGTGGTCGAAATTCGATGGTTTAACTACCGTTGGATTCCTCTCGTCGAGCTCTTTCTTTTGGTGGTGATTTCATTCAGTTTCGAGGGCTGATCTGTTTCTGCAATTTTTTTTCATTCGACGACGGTGGTCTTGGCGGAGCTTTATTTTGTGTTCCACCCGTCGAAATTTGACGGGCCACCCACCGTTGGATTCCTCTCGCCGGGATCTATATTTTGATGGTAATTTCGTTTATTTTGATGTTTTCAGATTTATTTTTATATTTTTTTGCATTTGTGGGCGCGGGGAACCGTGGGTGGTTATTAGCGGCGTCTAGGATTTTGGTAGGAGGCGAGGGGGGGTGAGGAGTCACTGTCTGTTTGATTTAAAATCTGTAGCATTTTCCAGCATTAACCTCTCTCTCTATCTCTCGATCTCTTAGTGTTTGTTGATTTTTGAGTGTTTTGATGTTTTTCTTCAAATTTTGTTGATTTGCACTAAAGTAATTTCTTTTTGTTTTGATTTTGCAATTGCAGCTTAATGAAGGCCATTGATCCTTTCCTTGAAGGTGTCAATTTTTTTTTTTTTAAGTTACGTCTGATTTGTTCAACAGACTGTATACATTACTATACATTACTATAGTAACATGTAGTTACATATGCGTATATTTGTGTATTTTTTATTTGTATTTTATTGGTTCTGATGTGATTTATAATAAAAATATTGAAATTCGTAAATTTTTTTTGGCGTTTTATGAATTTATTTTGTATAATTAAGCCAGTATTCGTATGTGTATACAATTGATCGACTAAAAATATGGGGAAAAAACGAACATAACTATGAATTACTATACGTACTATAGCTACATGTAGTTATTTTCAGTATTGTAAGTATACTGTTTTGGAAATTATAAAAGAAAAACAAAATTAATTTTTTTTAATTTAAAAAAATTAAAAAATTAAAAAAATTAATATATATATATATATATATATATATATATATATATATATATATATATATATATATATATATATATATATATATAAATTTAACAAACAGGTAAGGGAAAATAATAATAAATAAATCAGCGAAAATGATAAATGCAGGACCATAAATGCTGAATGCAGTTTGGCTGAAAATTGCATATAAGGGTAGTATAGTACTTTCGCATCTCCAGGGGTATGTCAAAGGATGATTTGGGCTTGGGTTTATCCCTAGTTTATTTGGTGGCTAGAGGGTATGTAAAATAACCCCTTTTTTTTATAACCTGTACAACTTCGAGCAATAAATAATTTTTTTTATTTTTGAAAACTCTAAAGATCATTATTACCATATCCAGCTTTCTTATTGATGTTTCATATATTTTCGCCACCCACCTTCACATTTCATAGGGATTATTTTAGAGACCCTTTCATATGAAAATTATATATAAATAACCACCAAACAAATTACATCATGATGCATATCCCTTCATTTTAAAATTAATTTGATAGACTTCTCTCGCCCATTTTACTAAAATGCCATTTTAAAATCAGTTTTAAACCTTAACCAACTCATGGGCGTTTTTCTCTTCCTCTCTCAACTCTCAGATCCAAATCACGCCCCCATATATCTCTGATAATGTTATAAATAGATAACCTTAAGTAGTTGAAATAGAGGGAGATGGGAGAGCAAAGTGGATAGTTGATCACGTGCTAGATGGCTCTGAGATACCTGAGAACAAAGAACACGTGAACTAGGTCGGGGGTTGATCCGGCGGAAACCCCTACGACGCTCAAGTCAGACGTGCGGATTGTAGAAATAGTTGAGAGAATACAAATTATCGTATTACTCAGATAATAGCGCGTACTTTTAATAAAAATGAATTAAACCGTTATTTATACTTTGAGATTGTTGGGCTCAAACCTTATTTTAAGGTGATTGGGCCTCGGTGGTAAACAACTCCGATGACTCAATTAACTTGCATCACGACAACTTGATCACGCCCGCGCTACCGTCGCAAAACTCCGGCCACGCGCCAACGCGCCTTCGCACCCCTCCGACCCACACTCCAACACATTTCGCGCACCACTAGACCATACGTCAACGCGGGACATCTACAATTCTTACTCTCGACACGATCGGGAACCCACATCGACTCGAGAGTGGGGGGCTTAATGATATGTCTAAT